GTGAGACAAAATGACACTCGAGGGATTTGAGTGGGTAAATCGATTTGATCAAGTATGACTCGATACTTGTAGTCAGAAAAAAAAACTAAAGACACGTGATGAATAGGGTGAGCAATTAACACACATATAAACATTCAGGGTTAATAAACGAATAATCAATAAGGTTAAAATTTGGCTTGAAAAAATATATAAATTTGTCCTTCCAGAAGCTAGAATAGCCAATTTGCGCTTGATATAAAACCAGTCATTAAAAGCACCCAGTAGAAAATGCAAATAATCACAAAAACTGACTGCATAAATGTTTATGTTAACTGTCCACACAGGGTCGATTGGGAGATCATAATTGCTATGACTAACACAGGCCACCCAGACTCCTGTCCTTTTCGAGCTGAAACTGAATTGATACTAAGCCAACAATATTGTTTCAGATTTACAAAACTCGAAACTACATTTACCAGAAAGAGGCAGTAAATTTCAGAATCTGTTTTTTGAGAAAAATATGGCAAAACAGAGAAATATCTGCATATGGATCTCAGATAACCATAGTATCGCCTACTTTGAGAGCTGTAATTTTTCTGGAGACTGTTTAAACTATGTGGCCTGACTTTTTGGCGCTCGATACGGTCACGCTTTCGGTTTTGTCGTATGTTTTCGAGATCGGTTTTCCTACTTATTGGTAAGGAAATTCTACTAGTTTTGTCATCTACATCATCCTTGTAATACTAGCAAGTAAGTCTTGTTTGTTCTGTTTCAACTCATCGAATTTGAATGACATTCTAACTAAGTTCAGCCATATAATATGTCAACGGCTTAAAGCAGCATAATCATTCATTTTTCTGTATACTATTCCTCTCAAATAAGTAAAGCGTATTTGGTAGTGGGTCTTACTACCAAGCACACTGTGTAGCTAGATTCTAATGTTTGAGATGCTAATATTCGTTGGTGTTTTCAGAGTGACTGTTCATACCTGATGAGTGTCTAATTCATTTCTACACATTGTGTTTGTTATAAAGCTCATCTTTAAGTGATTGAAGAACGTTTTTAGGGTGAGTATGCAGCTTTGAACCTTCCATAATTCATAATACTACATTGGATCAATATGTGTTATGAAGTCAGTATTTATCAGAAGTTCAATGCAGTAACCACTGATATTGCTTTCTAAATAGTTGAAGTCCGGGGTCTTAAGAGGCAAATTGACTGTGCTCTCTTAAACTTAGCAATAGCCAGCTATTCTAAATGAGATAAAGGGCGTGGAGAACTAAGTGCTGTCAATTATCCGATCTACATCTAATTGTAAGTAGTTAATTCAGGATACAAATTCGCTGTTCTTCTATCCGCTTTTGATATCCAAAATGTAGTGTCATGGTGTTTCAGTTGTGAGTTCAGCATAACGTCTTTTCTTGTGTAAGAGGTTTGTTGACATGATTCAGAATCGGCGCTAATGATACAAATCCATTCCCCATTAGAACCGTGGTTTCATAGTTACGACACAACCTTTCCAGCGATTTCATTCATTCCTCTTCAAGCATCCCTATGCAATAACTTTTACAGGTTACCTAACTGCTATCCCACTATTTATCTTGCTATGGCAACCTTTACTGATAAACATATTCGGCTGATTCTATTCTCGGTAATACTGAGATTTCAAGCGGTTTTAGTTTTGAAGTGTATTTTTTTAAATGTCAGATAGTTGCGTAGTTTAGTTGGTTACTCGTTCATCAGGCTCTTGATTTCTATTCATTGAACGAGTATTTCATTAAGGGCTTCAACCAATGAGCGTCGTATCTTAAATTTTATGTATAGAAAACAGTGAATTGCCTCTGAATGTTTGAATTAATGGTGGCGCGGTCATAGCTGCATAGGAACTATTTGTATGTCTAGACTGTACTATGAGTTTACTGTCCATAAAATCATATAAAAGAATGTAATCGTACATACTGTTCGTAGAAATCGATAACTAGGTACTTGGCACTTGGATATTGATCATAATAATTTCAAGTAGTTTAGTTCTGGCAGCTGGGTAGCGTCTCTGGCAGTTACAGACATACATGGCTCAAAGTTGCGTACATAAATTTGAGTTTTGACTAAAAAACAGCATTTTACTCTATACCGAGATGTCCTGTAGCAGTCTGTCATTGAATGGTGTACACCGTAAGTATGGATATTTTATGAAGGCTCTTTACTCGAACACTACCAGTCTAGTCAAAGCTTGTGGTGAACTGTCATCTGATTTCGCAACCTCACATGGTGTCCTGCAAAGCTGTCAACTATCTCCATTTTTGTTTAACTTCATCATAGACCTACTGCTGGAAATAACGTTTTCGTCGACTGAATTTTTAGGGATTGATCTTCTAGGAGGTCCACTTATAGACGTAGATAACGCAGATGTTTGGTGAAGACGCTGATAAAATGCAGGGTCTTTTCATAGCACTGAGCAATAATGCCAGAATGTTTGGGATGCGCTTCTCTCCCTTTGTAATGCAAGTTGTTGCTTAAAGACTGGTCTGCGTCTACACCTGAACTAAGGATAGGGGGTAAAGTAGTCGAACGCGTCGACAACTTTACTTATCTCGGAAGTCTGGTCAGTCCTAATGGGTTGGTGTCTGACGAAATCTCAACACGGATTCGAAAATCTCGTTTGGCTTTCGCCAACTTCCGTCGCGTATGGCGAAGGCGAGATATCCGTCTATCAATTAAGGGATGAGTATACTACTCGGCCATTCGTTCTGTTCTACTTTAAGACTGCGAAACGTAGCCTTTAAAAGTAGAAGATACTCGTAAGCTACTAGTATTTGATTACAGATGTCTTGGAAACATTGCCAGCGTCTTCTGGGATCACCGGGTAAGTAATATGAGGTCAGATGCACAGGGTATTAGGGAATGATGGCAAGTCAGCTGATGAGGTTGTGAATCTTCATCGAATGAGGTGGTTGGGCCACATGCTACGTATGCCTGAACACCGATTACCACGATGCACAGTGCGGACTAGTGTTGGGGATAGTTGGAAGAAAGTTAGGGGTGTCCAAACGATAATGTAGCATCAGTCCTTGAAGTCACTAACTTCTGGTTTGAGCCATGTTGGTAGATGCAGACTACTTGGTTGGTGTCCGCGTGAATATTGTAACCAATGGTTGGAGACCCTTGATGACGTGGCCCACACACTTTGTATTCCCTTGAACCGTGAGATTAAAGTTGCTTTACACCTTCATATCTACGAACTAATTATTTCTTCCTGTATTATGTCATCATATGAAGTCCTTTTTTATATATATTACCACCATTAAAGTAACTACTTTTATGGATTTGGTGTTTATTTGTGCTAATGAGGTATGGCGACTTGGATCGATGCATATATGTTCCTGGTCCTACGTTATAGCTGACTGACTGATATTAAAAATTAACTACAATCTAATAGCATAGTATGGAACAACTGCTGTAAAGATTGAACGTACAACACACTGTATAACTGCTCTAATAAATCACTGGAAAATTCTTCGTTCATATAATTGTGTTTTAAGTATGAGGCTGTAGTCTGTTAACGATTGAGTCAATTGTCTAAATTATTAATCCACAGATTCATAATGGTTAGACCGGAAATTTCAACCGTAAAACTAGCCAATATGAAAAAAAGGTTACTGATCATTATTTTGAAGAAAACTAGTGATTGTCAAATGTGTACAGTAAAGATTCAAATGACTATCATCAGTGATCACTGTTTAATTGTTAAATGATACTGTTAGGAAGATAACAAGTTATCTAGTTTCTTTGTCAAGAAATATAAATTTTTACAAGGATAACCCTCTCCCAATCACCTTTCTTGTTATCTTATTGATTGTTTTCATCTATAGTTTACCAATTTTGTTATACTTCGAAAGTGGTTTTCTTTGTTTGGTCTGCATGTTTCTCTACCTGGTCCTCACCCATCTCATACACCTCCATTGTTAGCTGATTATCTGATACCAACAGATAATGTTGATGGTCTAGCATGTATTTTTATCGCGGTGTAAATACAGTAAGTAGGATGAATAGAGACCTGTTTTGGTGGGACTAGAGGATCCAATTCTATACACTGCTTCCGACTCACGAGGCATTATACGTGTGAAACTACATCAGCCAAAGCGTTCTACAGTGGTTTGTAGTCAAATGTAATTATTTGTCATCATTCCAGCTGATCTTAGAATCATCCGCCAGAATTCCTACCCATCCGCTCGACTAGGATTGATACAATGGGAAACAGAAACATCTAACTTTATAATTTTCTCCGAAATGCTGAGACAGTTTATTTGAACTATGTATTGTTGTCTTAAAACGGTGGTTCCAGGGCTTCTATCTTGATCCCAAGATTTTTCAAAGTTGTTTGATGCTGTTACTAGCAAACGGATCCTAACTACGAGTATTACTCGTGATGGTTAATCAGTACATTCCTGATGAACACTCAATACTAGATCAGCTACTGATCGATACAGTTTGACCAACTCACCTTTCATCCTCGTTAAAACTATACAATTCTAAGGTTTAGTATTCCAAGATAATATGAAGAAATCAAGCAATATTGTATAACCCGATAAAATTAATCATACTTTTCAAAAGTTTTTTCTTAGCAATCAGGCGTCAGTTTTTGCTTTCTGTGAAACGGTGTGGCTACGTGCACGTCGATTTAAACTGGTTAAGTATGCTAAATATTTATTTTTAAAAGTAACTAAAGCTATCTCATCAAAGTCTTAAGTTTTGTTTGCGTTTCGTTTTTATGAATGTCTCACGATGTCAAAGTCCTACATAGCTTGGCTTTGGATTGTATATAGGTTGGTAAAAAAAAAGTTGGACGTCGTGTCTATGACAGTTTCCTAACCTAATTCTTTGTTAATCCGGAATATTTATGCCACTAATACCAGTATTATTATTTTCACCTATCTTTTAGCTCAAAAGTGACTGGGTCAAGATCGTAATTTATTCTGAGCAGTCAAGTCAGACGTCTTGAATGTGTCCACTTTGCCGAGGATATGAAGCGTAAAGGAAAGCAAAAGACTTCAAAACCTTCTGGCCGTTATGGTTTAAAAGGCAGTTTGAAGTCTTACTATGGTGATTCTCAATTACATCCTGAATGTGGGTCACCAGATACAGGATCTAAGTCATCTCATGGTCTTTCAAAAACACCAGATGATACTTCCAGTGAATCAGTTCATAGCCGTAGTCTTCGTAATAGTTCTGTTGGAGATGATAACTTATCACAAATGGAAAGTCGTGGTCGTCGTGTACTAGACAAAAAGGGTCATAACGGAGATCTTGATCAAAACGTATTCAAGAATTTTGCAGATGACTATAGTAATGAGTCAAGGGATCGTGAAGGCTCTCTTCCAATGGGACTTAGTAGTGAACATGAACTTCCTTATGATGATGAATGTAAGTAGTTTATCAATTTTCATATTGTTTTATTCTTTTCTAATATTCTTTCTTTATGTTGTCTCTTCAGTCCTTATTGGTTTTACTATCTACTTCCGCTAGCCGTTATTATACAACCTATTCACTCCTCTTCGCATGTTAGTTTGCGTAATCTAAAATTTAGCAACTGATGTGACTGTAGCTTGATAATGAGTCTTATCACCGATTGTAATGAATAATTTTCATACTTTGTAACTGACATCACGGACTGGCTCTACTAAACAATTGTTGAAAACCAAGATGCCGTGGTTGTTTATTTCATCCGTGTTATATGGTTCACCAAGGACACAGCCTCAGGACATTCAGGTTTTATGATAAGCGCTTACTGAGTTGGCATGTAATGGCTTGTGGAGAAGATTTGTAGCTCAGGTGGATGATTTTGGTGGAGTTTTGTCTCCGAGCTGGATGGTTTGGTCGTGGAGCTTTCATCGTTCTTCTGAACATCATCAGCACAAACTTCAGATAGAAGTGAAGTGTTCGAATTTCTCCATATGTGTTTCACAGCTTGTTCTGCGCACCTCGATGTTGATTGGTTCTTGTTGACCTTAAATTTATGATTGTTTACTTCTTTGTTTTGGTTGTCTCCCATTGGTTTGATTTTTGTTCCCATATTTATGCATGGTTTTCCTGATTGGTTGATAAGTTGGATTGATTTCAATATGTTTGTTGATTGCTGATTGACCTGAGTGCCAGGCTTCTAGAAATTCTCTGGTGTTTTTGGAGTTTCCTCTGTCTAAGGTTTCTACATTTTCCCAATCGAATGAGTGTCCGTAGTTATCCACGTGTATTGAAATAAGTGAAGAGATATCATGGCGTTTGACTGCTAATTGGTGTTCATGTAGGCTTGTATTTATAACTTCAGTCGATCTGTGATATTTTGCTACTGTAATCCTATGGGTTGGCTTAGTAACTAAAACAGTCGGCATTCAACTGGCAAGTCTCAGGTTTGGACCTCGTTTTATTTACATCATTTCGAGCAGCGAATTAGTACTTGTTATGACCTTCACTCGATCATTATTACCAATAACCACTAACACCTATTTGTCCATGCTTATTCTTTTTATCATCGACCTCCCGGTTTGTCTCTTAATGAGACTCGAAAACACATGGTCAAATACATCAATTTAAAGATCACAAAGCATTATTGATGAGAAATTGCAGTCTTCACTAAACTGGGACAGTTGTGGTACTAAAATAACTAACAGTTAAATAATTAATTAGGTGTAATTCATAAACGATAAAAAGCACTAACAGCCAAAGACTCAAATGATCGTTTACAACTAGAACAGTATAAAAATTACAATGAACTATTTATTAAATATACCATGTAAGCTTATAAAATAGTCTACTAGAGAAGGGCCCTAAAGTTCCAAGTTTTAAATTATCTCCCCATATTCAACGGTATCACACAACTGAACTGTGTCTCAAGGCCCCCGAGCACATAAATAAGAAAAATCAACTCTTTTCATCGGTAATAACTGTCTCATGTCAGTCAGTCAGTCAGCTACAACGTAGGACCATGCACATATGTGCATCGGTCCAGGTTGCCATACCGCATCAGCACAACAAGATGAACACCGGATTCATAGCAGTGGTTAGGTCCAAGTTGGTAATATATAAGAGAAAGATTGCATATAGAGATATAATACAAGAAGAAAGAATTGGTTCGTAAAAAGAAAGATATGAAGCGATTTTAATCTCTTAGTTTAAGGGAAGACGATATGCTTAAACTTCATTGGTCAGTGACTAATTCTCATTAGTACTCGAAGTTTCGTTTTGTTACTGATGAGCACATGATCACTGTTAGTAGTTCGAATTTTCACCTGGAGATTACTCAACTCATGGTTTAAATTATGAAATGAATTTCTCTTGGCAACCGTTGGATACACACACTGCTAAAGAGTTTTATACTAAGAAGAAACAGTTCTTCATAGGTTTCTGGTTTCAATGGTGGTAGTCTAGTTAGGATGATGTAAAGACAAATTGAATAGTCTTCATTGACCTATACTACTGATTTACTTACTGATTGGTAATTGCTCTACTTGAAAGTGTTTTGATTGTGTTCCATGTAATCAACAAATCGATTATTATTTGTTATCGAAATTCTTTGTGTTCTTATATATTGGTTACCGTCTTATCAAAAGATCCAATTTTTAAAACTAAAAAAATCCATCTCATTTTAAATTTCAAGTTATTTCTCATGTTAATGAGTAGTGAATGGTTGTTAGCATTATGTTTCGTCACATTTTTTTTTAATCTTGGTCATTAGCTACTCGTGAACCTTTATCAACCAAAGATCTCAGCGGATCACATAATTCAGTCTTTGTTGAACCCCGTCAACCAGATAAGGGTAAGTTCTTCATTGAGTACAAAACAGCGGTTTATTTTTCTTTTGAATGTCAAGTCTACGTTTCTTTCTATATGTGTTAAAACCGTAATTTATAATAATAGCTTAAAGAATCTTTGAGTTATGTTCTCTTAAGGTATATTATTTAGTATGAAATTATAAACATGTTTTACACAAAAAGTGATAAATCCCATTACATACACGATCCAACGGCGAAAAGAAAACTAGATACTTGGCTCGTATTAAGGCCCATGTTGTCGGGTCTTTATTACAGTAGCAGTTATATTTTCTAGTCCTACTATTGATTAGTTCGCCTGTATTGCCAGTAGGACCAGTGACCGATTTACCAAATGACACAGTAACCAGTAATTCACAACCGAAGACATTAACGCTTATTGGTCCTCGAGCTCCCTCAAACCTCAATGTTCAGTCAGAAGACAAAGATAGAATGCAGATTATTTCTCCAAAACACTGTTCGATCACAACTCAAAACTCATATACTAATATACTTTCAACGTCTGACTACGTAGCAACACAATTATAAAATTATGTGTACATAACTCAGTCATAAATAATACAAATTCGCAGTAACAGGGAAATAATTAATGATAAATCTGGAACAATAGGATATAACAATTTATGCGTTAAATGGGAAGTTTAAAGATAGACACATTAAAAATACAACAATCTAAGAGTTTACTAATTATGTAATAAACAGTGTAAACGGTCTCTGAAGTTATACTTTCACACTACTTGCCGCATTGAATCAACACATAATTTTAGAATGAGGTAAGAACAACTAATTATCTAGTTCGAATCTAATTTCTCCAACTAAGCCGAAGCAAAGAAATTGAGTTCCATTATTTTTATAGTTTGTTTTTTTATGATGCGGATGTTTCGTGCTTCATTATTTTTACTCTTTATGGTTGGTTACTCTAAAAGCCTCAGTTCTTAAATTTGTATTTGTGTGTGTGTTTTAGTCACAGTGGATTACAACAGTGCATCGCATACTCAAAGAAAAGTCAACAAACGTGAGCTAAAAGCGTTATTAAAGCAGACTAAAAAGAAACCATCAACTGTAGACGAGACAGTGATCGCTGCTATCGATGAATTGGCTATTCACTTGAAGGGTAAGTTTCACATTTAACTAATAATTGTGCTTATAATGTTTGATTTTATAGTAATTTAATTATGTAAAGTAGGTCTGTTCTTTTTTCTGATATTTTTGGTGAGAATACGGTCCGTCTTTTTACTAACTTATTTCATGGAAGCGTTTTAACTCTAAAACAGTCTTTTACATATATGATTTTTATGTACACGAATACATTTTGGCGTCTGTTCTTAGGTCACCGATCGGATGCATGGGGAAAACAGGGTACTTATTAAGTTGTCACGGAATAAAGATTCTTGTGTTAAATATTCATCTGTTGTCTCACTAGGATCTTGACCACAGTTCCCAAAATCACAAAATCAATTAGACTGATACTAGTTGTAAACGTCTGCAAATTGTCGATCATCAGAGTCGGCGATTACGATAAACACGGCTACTATTCTGTAGTTTTCAATTTATTTGGCTAATACTTGCCTAATTAAGGTTTCACCAATACACTTTTTTTTGTAATTGATTGTTGTTTCGACGATTCTGTGTTAACCGCTGTCTGTTATGAATTTACGATTTTTCTACTTATTATTCTTGAAAACATCTTTTGATACAGATACTTGTGTGATTGACACGAAACCGGTACCTCGTCGACCAATCCCAGTCGCTGTATCTCCTACTTTAGCCTCACGTCAATCTGAAACACCATCCCGTAGAGGTGTCGGTGCACGTAGAGGCGGCCGAAGAGGTCGGGTGCTCGTCGTGGTGGTCTTTCTTCCCCTACTTCTACCACTTCCATAGAACAGACGGTTCTTCCGGCATCCTGGGTACCTCTTATCCTACCGAACCCGTTAAGAAGTCCCGTGACATCAGATCCTGAGGGTGATAATTTGGGGGTGAAATCGAAGTTATGTGCACCTTGGCTTCAACAACTTCCTGAATCGCGGGTGCATCGGTTTGTTGTAAGTTGTTAGTTTGTTTAACCATTTCACAAATTATCTTCATCTACTAGACGTTTTTGTTTGTTCTAATATTTTGTGTGTGATGTATTGTTTTCTGTGGGTGCTAGAACATTTTGGTACGTTGGGTCAATCAGAAATCGATCAAATGTTAAGCACATGATGATTGACTGATAAATGGTTAGTTTTTCTAAGGGATATATATATAATTTTACTACAATACGGAAAAATGTTGATATAAGTTACTTTCTTTTTTATCGTTACTTAAAATGACTTTTCTTATATATTTCTCCTGATAATTATCAAGATTGATGAATACCAGAGGTCCCCATTATTACTATATTTTTCTTCAGCAAACGGATTTACTTTAGACTGTTGCTACCAATCTAGTTTAATCTTTATCTTGTTTTTTTTTTACTGTAATAAATCTTTTTAGTTTAATCTTAAAGTCAGTATTTATGTGTCATCAAGTAATAAGTAATAATTTATCATATTCTATTTATGTATTAATGTTAATCAATTGGTAATTTTTCTTTGTTAGGTGAATATGCGCCGTCTGTTGGCGGCTACATTAAAAAATCCCATAGAAACTGATCACTTATCTAAAAAACCTATTCAACTTATAGATTTAACATCAGATAAACAAGATTATTCTACTATCGCTTTCGATAATCAATCGAAACAATTATCATTTCCACTAAACTCTAATGTACAAAATCTTGGTCATCATACAATAATACCCTCTGAGATAAAAAATACTGATCAGCTGCCTCTTATTAAGACAGTTGAGGATGTAAATCAAAATGATTCAAAGTTTATTTCAAATCCTACTGAAGATTCTGCTTCGAAGTTGAATTTTAAACTTGTTGAAAGTACTACTGTCACGCGTACATTGGTTTCTAGTTTAACTAAACGTCGAGGTAGAGGTAAAAAACACCATGGATTTCGCCGTAACTTTCCATCTGTACAGTCGAATACAATCGGTGCATCTGAATCAATCCCTTTGACAAATACTAGTCTTGTTTCATCATCATCATCAAATCTGATTAACAATCAAAACGTAGAAACTAGTCAACATGTGATTCGAATGCCTAAATCAACTTCTTCTAAAGGTAAGCTTGTGTAGTTTTCAATCAGTACTTTCTTGCAAAATAATTAGTTTTTATTATTGTATTTATAAGTGTACTTTAGTTTCTACTTCCTGTCAGTTAGATTAGAAACTGTCACCGATACAAATTGCTGTTTTGTAAAAACTGAAGTTGTAATAATCGTGTCGGATTATAGTAATTACTTTTGTTGATTATCATTTAGTTTTTAACAACTTAGTCAAATATAATCAACCTAGAACCTGGCACAAATGTGCAGCAGTGCAAGTTGTCGCGCTATAACAGCACAGCAAAATGGAGTTATCAAAATGAACGACAAGTGTCTGGATTATAGGAGTATCAATAATAGTGCAAATACACACAAAGATATATATATATATATATATATATATATATATATATGCTACGGCCACCGATTTCTATCCAGTTCATCATGCTCCTCTAAGTACTTACTGTGGTTAATAAGCGAACCTTAACCAGGTATTCTGCAGTTATTAATATATCTCAGTCCGACAATCAGTGGTTTCAAAATATTGATACCACGTCTTGGTTCGCCCATTCCTAGCTTTCTTACAATCTATCCCCACTGCTACCAACATTCGATCTGGAATTAGGCAGCGGTTGGCGTACGTATTACGTGTGTCAGTCAACTCAGTCGAGAAAGACTCACAGATACATCAATAGATTTGTTATTTTTACTCAATAACATACATCCAAACACATCAGGTTCACTCGATAGTTCTACCATACACGAGCGACACTTCGGTAACATGTGTATTCAAGTATTAGCGAGTAAGAATGTTCTCTGCCCTTAAATGTTACGTTTTACCTCCATAGAGTATGCTAAACATTTAAGGACTTATTGTCTGTATTATTCCGCTCTTATGGTTTTCAATGTTTTCAGTCACAATAATCTTTTACAAGTAAATGGTAATCGATAACAGTAGGGTATCGTCTTTGACTTCATCATATATTGCCCTGTCCCATCCAAAATTCGTATTTGAGTTTAGTTTCTGAATTTATTAGCATCATAGCACGCAGATGACTGATATAGGAGGCGCTGAATATAGTAGACTTCCCCTGACCTTGTGACTTCATTATTGTGTTTAGAACCGCTAGTAAATTTCCAAAGCTGTATTTGTTTTTCATCTACTGTCGGATTTAAACAAAAAGTTTCTCGGTTTTATACGTAAGAAATTTAATTATAAAGCCTAAATTACGTGATACGAAATGGACGGTAGTTGTCTATAGTTCTAGTCTATTGATTCTAACAATTTTCTATTTACGGAAGAATTACGAAATAATTTTGTTGGGATCTAATCAACAACATTCTCGAGAAAGGTAGCTACAATTATATATATAGTGATTTTTTAAATTTCAGATCTATGCTAAATGTAGTCGCAACTTTGTAAACATTTGAACTAAAATACGCAAAAATGTAGCTCCAGTCATCAATGAGATGTGAGTAAGCTTTCAAAAAGGCAATAGGAAATGTAAGAAAAAAATCACGACAAAACATAAGCTACTTACTAGTAGCGTAATCATTTTAAGTTACAATAATTGTTTTTCGTATTTTCAAGAAATTTCACATTCTCATATCAGTGTTTACATGTGGTTTTCAGGGAAATCTCGTGTTTCTCGTGAACTTCGTGGTCTTGTTACTTGGGACGCTGTAATGGCCGAACAACGCAAACGTGAACAGGAATTAAAAGACATTGAAGCTAAAGGAGGATCTGCCTCACTTCATCCATCTGAGGTGACGTTATCAGTTGTAACTGACTTCATAGCCTCTGTCGAAGAAGAAGGTCTAACTCCTAAACTTCGCAGAACTCGACAAACTAGCGGCAGTGTTCCCAGCCATGTTACACATTCAGCTGTAGGATCTGATGCTGCTTCTATGCAAACTACAATTGCTGGTAGGTTTTTTATCTATTGCCTAATCAAATTTTAGTATCCATTAAAATAGGCTAAATATGAAATATTTTATTCGAGTGTTATATTTCATTAACTGTCTAGTACGCAATCTCCTTGATCATCTGTAACATGAAAATTCATACACACTCATTTGGAATTCTCATATTTATCGCTCTACATATTTTGTGTTGATTTTTTTTGAGTGATTAATATATTTTCAGTGTTTTTTTTATTTGTCCTGAGTTAAGGAGTAAAATATTTTATCTCACTCAGATAGATCTTAAGAGTTGTGGCTTAGTAGTTATAGTGTTTAACTAAGTCACTTGTTTGAACTCCTTTTTACTTCCGTTTAAATAATCGGATAGTAACATTAGCTTTCATACATAAAGCGTGACTCAAAGCTGATCGTGTGGATCTGTACTTCGTAAGTACGTTAGATAAGTCAAATCCTATTCACGTTTATTGAGTTACTTGATATGATGACATTCACACTCACCTATTTCAAACTCAACAGCATACACTTAAAATAATTTTAATGTGGGTTCTTAAAAGTTCCTTTTTTCTAGTGTTATCTATGTTTAATCATTTTATCAAAAAATTCCACTACCGATTTTCAATAAAATTGAATTGTGACGGATAATAGAATCCAGGAGTACATTTCGTTTTATTTAGAAGTGATCAACTGAATCTACATTTATCCTAATGTCCATGTTAATACTGAATCTGGAATCCAGTAATTTTCTCTTCAATCCCTCCCGACCGTTGTTGCTACCTTGACGCGGTGGTCGGGCTTGTCTATCGTGATGAAGCAACCGAGCTATACTGGCTGGAACAACCGTCACTCAAGGTCCTACCAAGTCAGACAGGTCGGTTGAAGAGCGGTAAGACTAAATGCAACAAACACAAGGTCCGAAAGCGAAGTCGTACTGCTGACTGTACAGAGGTGTGACAGCAGTAAGGTGTTTTCTTCAGACAACCAGCATGACAGCGATGCTGCCTTCCCACAAGGAGGGGTGGGGTTGGAAAAGGTCGACCCTAAAAATGCACACCTCGCCTTATCCCACGGATATCCGTCTCCGGCGGTAAGGTCTCAATAAGTACGGAGCTAACACAAAAATTACCCTTAAAAAGGTTGTGTGTGACCGACCTCAAACAGTTGTCCCTTGGGCACTGCGGTCACGCTCTCAGGTCACTAAGACCGCGTCTAATCCGATTTCCTTTTCAGGTACCTCCAGAACAACCCTTCCACGGTGTGGGCAACCGGGAAGTGATAACCGCCTTCATACCTCTAACAGCCTTCAAGACCACTGTATTCATAATCAACCTCCCTCTTCAAATCCCTATTATTCCTCCTACATCGACTTTCAACTCTAAATTTCCTCTTTCGGCTTCCTCCTCAAGTGTCACCATAGCCAACGATTCTAGTGCTCAAAACACTGTCCCAGGTCTACTGAAACCTCGCTCCAAACTACACATTGGAGCCTTCAACGTACGCACCCTATGTCAAATCAGTCAACAGGCTACCTTGGCTAGAACCCTATAATCTCGTACCATTGATGTATGCTGTGTCTCTGAAACACGGATACAGGATCCCAGTGTGGTCATTCACTTGATCTCACCTCGGCAAAACAGAGAGCCAACGAGATACACCCTCCGTGTATCTGGTGACCCGATGGCCAGTTCTCGTGGACTGGCAGGTGTGGGCGTAGCCGTTTGTGTGCTGTTCGGCTAAACGGCTCCGTAAGAACTCGGAAGGATAGGGACACACGTCGTTGCCTTTTTGTCGTTTCTGCCTACGCTCCCACTGACTGCAGCTCAGATGAAGTGAAAGATGAATTTTACAGAAAGCTAAACGTTCAGACATAGTACTCGTAGCAGGTGACTTTAATGCTCAGATAGGTAGTTTAAACCAAACAGAAAGGCATTTAGGTGGATATTTTAGTATTCCGGCACAGCGAACAGATAATGGTGATCGTCTGCTGCAACTGTGCTCAGACAATCGTTTATTTTTAGCAAACACAAATTTTAAGCATAAGGAGAGACATCGTCTAACATGGCGACCCCCTACACCAAACCAACGATGGACTCAAATAGACCATATTGCCATCAGTCATCGTTGGAGAGGGTCGGTAGAAGATTGTCGCTCATTCTGGAGTACCTGCTTGGACTCCGACCATGCCCTAATACGGGCACGCATCTGCTTGCGCCTCACTGGACGCAAAAAAGCCACATTAAAAAGACCCATTAGAACTGAGTTGAGTAACGAGAAAACCAAAAGTAGGTTCCAGGAACAACTGAGGTCACACTTAGGTAGTTGTGAAGACGAGGCTGACCCAGATGTTGCTTGGAAGGACATACAAGCAGCTGTGGAAACAGCAGTGACATCTATTAGTGACTTAAACCACAGAGTTACAAAGAACCAGTGGATTTCTTCAAGGTCTATCACTGATGGATTCTCGCAAACTCGTCCCATCAGGTTCTGAACATGATGAAGAGCGACAACAAATCAGATCTAGGTTAAGAAAAAGTCTAAGGAACGACCGTGAGCAGTGGTGGGCAACGAAAGCAAAAGAGATGGAAAAGGCGGCGACTATAGGGAACACAAGACAGCTTTACAGACTAATAAAAGAAACTGGAATTAATAAGTCAAGTGTAAGTGAGATTATTTCGGAAAAAGACGATACTCTCATCTGCTCCCAGTCCAGACGTTTAGAACGATGGGCGGAACATTTCAGAGAACAGTTCAGCTGGCCTTCAGCTACTCTACAACTACCCTCCATTCCCAGACAGTGTGAATGGAACATTGAAGTAGGTCCCCCAACTCTTGCTGAAGTTCAAAAGGCTATAGTTAATCTGAAACGAGGAAGGGCAGCTGGTCCAGATGGATTGGCTCCAGAGGTCTTTAAGGATGGTGGTCCAATTTTAGCGATTAGGTTGACTAATATTTTAGCTAAGATCTGGGAGTTAGACGTTATCCCATCTGACTGGTCACAATCACTTATCGTCCCAATATATAAGAAAGGGTCAAAATCATCCTGTGACAACCACAGAGGGATTAGTTTAACTAATATAGTATCTAAAATACTAGCCTCGATAATTATCAGACGCCTAACTAAGACTCGTGAACTGCAAACACGAGAGAACCAAGCTGGCTTCAGACCTGGTCGTGGCTGCATCGACCACATATTCACCATTCGTCAGGTTCTAGAACACAGGCATACCTATCGGCGTCCGACAATGGTGGTCTTTCTTGACTTAAAAGCAGCATTTGACTCTGTAGACCGCGAGATTCTGTGGCAGTGTCTGTCATTGAAAGGCGTACCTCAGAAGTACATAAACCTTGTGAAGGCTCTTTACTCGAACACTACTAGTCGAGTCAGGGCTTATGGCGAACTGTCATCTACTTTTGCAACCTCAAGTGGTGTCCGTCAAGGCTGTCCACTTTCTCCATTTTTGTTTAACTTCATCATAGACCTATTGATGGAAATAACATTCTCGTCGACTGAATTCTCGGGTATTGATCTCCTTCCAGGAGGTCCACTTATCGACTTAGAATACGCAGATGACATAGTCCTGTTTGGTGAAGACGCTGACAAAATGCAGAGTCTTCTGGTAGCACTAAGCAACAATGCCAGAATGTTTGGAATGCGCTTCTCTCCCTCTAAATGCAAGTTGTTGCTTCAGGACTGGTCTGCGTCAACACCTGAACTAAGGATAGGGAGTGAAGTAGTCGAACGCGTTGACAACTTCACTTATCTTGGAAGTCTGATCAGCCCTAATGGGTTGGTGTCTGACGAAATCTCAGCACGGATTCGAAAAGCTCGTTTGGCTTTTGCCAACTTACGTCACCTTGGCGAAGGCGAGATATCCGTCTATCAATAAAAGGACGAGTATACTGCGCGGCAGTCCGTTCTGTTTTAATTTACGGCAGCGAAACATGGCCATTAAGAGTAGAAGACATCGTAAGCTACTAGTATTTGACCACAGATGCCTTAGAAATATTGCTGGCGTCTGCTGGGATCACCGGGTAAGTAATAGTGAGGTTAGACGCAGGGTATTAGGGAATGATGGTAAATCAGTTGATGAGGTTATGAATCTTCATCGACTGAGATGGTTGGGCCACGTGTTACGTATGCCTGAACACCGATTACCACGACGTGCAATGCTAACCGGTGTTGGAGATGGTTGGAAGAAAGTTAGGGGCGGCCAAACCAAAACGTGGCATCAGTGCTTGAAGTCACTAACTTCTAGTCTGAGCCATGTTGGTAGATGCAGACTACTTGGTTGGGGTCCGCGTGACTATCGTAACCAATGGTTGGAGACTCTTGGTGACATGGCTCAGAATCGATCACAATGGCGTCGGTGTATACACTCTCTGTCTTCCCTTAAACTAAGAGATTAAAATCGCTTCATATCTTTCTTTCTACGAACTAATTCTTTCTTCCTGTACTATATCCTTATTGCAATCTTTCTTTTATACATTGCCACCACTGAATTAACCACTGCTATGAATCCGGTGTCCATCTTGTTGTGTTAATGAGGTATGGCAACTTGGACCGATGCATATATGCGTCTGGTCCTACGTTGTAGCTGACTGACTGACTCTTCAAACCCTGGATTTTATTTAAAATTTTTTAGTTTATTGGAAAATACGTATATCCATCCTTAATATTAACAAATAAAAAAGTAAAAACCCTTACAAATCAAATACTTTATAGTTACTTTAATAAATTTGACAGTTATTGTATACTTTTTTCATTGAGATCATGAATTGATCGATGTTAGACCACCTTTGAAAACCTGGGAGCACTAGACGGCTGTTTCGTCCTAGTATGGAACTCCTTGGCAGTGCGCATCCACAATCCCACACGTGTGATTGCGACCTAGGACCTTCGGTCTCGCGAGTGAACATTTAACCTCTAGACCAATGAGCCGGCATCCAGGTTTTCAGTGGTGGTCTAACATCGATCGATTCATAATCTCAAATATTTAACAGTCTCCACAACCCCGTAATGATAGTTACTATATTCGCAATTTCATGTTTTGTATGATTTCTATGATTTTGTATCAGTGAGGTTTATGAAACTCTAATTTTATGTTTATTCAATGAAGGACTTTTGTCCGATAAAAGTCTAAAGTTTGTATTTTTTTGGCATTGAACTTGTTGTGCTAATTTCAAATTTTTGAAAAAAATATTGTTTGTGTACTTTACTTAATCGTCGTATCTTATACGTGGTAGCCTTCCCGACCACTTATTTATCAACTAATCACTTGACCCTATTAATTAATTTAATTTAAAGCTTCCGAACACACTAATTATGAAATAAATTGTCGTGTGAAACCGGGTGAAACATCTTCAGTAGTCGCATATTCTGGACTTAGTACTGAAGTGTCAAGTGTATCATCGGATAATATAATTTCAGTTCAAAAAACAACCATTCATAAAACAACAGTTGACAATAAGCCGTCTACTGGGAATAGTGCAGGTGAATCTCGATTGAATCATTCGGATTGTGATCAGAAAGTAAGTAATTTTTTAACTGTATGCATGAATATTTTGAAATGACAAGAAAAATTTTTTAGATTCATACTTGATAAGAACCATTATATGTCGACTAGTGACGAACTTCTAGAGGTAATTCCTAAAGTTTCAGGTTGAATTTGTTGCTAATGGTGCTTGTGATGACGGACCATATTTACCCAACCTGGTGAAATATGTTTTAAATTTATTCGTCGCTGGCTCAATAGTTAAAAAACTAAGCACTCATATATATATATATATATATATATATATATATATATATATATATATATATATTTGTGGTCATGTTATATAAATAACTGGACAGGTTTTAGCAAACTAATTCATTGCTTTATTCCATACTTTTTATCTGATTAACATTCATTTGCTATGACCGTCTTCAAAACACTGCTATTTTTCCGATTTCAGTGTTCGTTTTCAGTCACCTCAGATGCAAGCGAAATGGAATCTGCATGTGTTACCCAATATTCTCCAATTTCTGTAGAACAAGAACCAAACGAATCACAGCATGCTTCATTTGAACAACTTGATGACGGTGCATATCAGTCGTCAACTGCAGTTAGGCGGAATATCAGTCCCTTAAAATCACCGGGTCGTCGTAAAAAGAAGTACAAAATTAACCGGTTGTTTAAATCCCATCCTTGTGACTCGGATCGCCACCCGGAACAATATATACTTAATGATTCAGTATCTCAAAGTTCTGTTACTGTCGACTCTCGGCAACAATTTGACACCTCTTCATCTGTCTCATCTCTTCCTGTTCCTTCGGCGAAGCGTAAACGACAAACACAACATGGGGTTCTTACAAGTACAGATCCAATTCTTGAAGATCCCAACTTCGTGGAACAGTCTGCACGTCTCCAAGAAACTGACGGTTCTGATGCCTGTGATATTTTACCTACTTCCGCCTCATCATCACTTCCAAGCAACGTAAGACGTTCTTCTACTTCACGTAGCTCAGCTCTTCCTCCTCGAAAACGCTACAAGGTGGGAATAGATACATCTAACACCAATGAAAACCATGCTTCCTCTGTTATGGATAAAGATAATTTGAGGGATTTCTGTAAATCAGGTTTCAATGAGCCCAACTTGTCTGTAACTGTCATAGATTTAACAGATAATGCCTCAAGTACTGGAGTTTGTCATCTTGGAAATGCTGATATATCTCTATCAAAACCTGAACACAGAAAACGTGGTCGAGGTCGTCCGTCTAGACGCTTAGAAAGACTGGAAAGCAATAATAATATACCAGTTTCTCCCTGCTTATCTTCTGACTCAGTTTCAGTAACTTGTGATCGTCCAAAACGTGAGGTAATTTGGAATCTCATATTCATCATTTGTGATTGTTTTTTGATTTAAAACGTCTGCTAAACTATTCAAAGTCAACTTAACTGAAACCTGTTCGATGATGACATACAATTATATGTAAATGTATGTGCAAGTAACAAATAAATTATCGAAAGCAATCATTACTTATTAAGGTATTCACCATGAAATTTTCATCATCTCTATCACATATTGTGAATGCTCATGACTGTCAGCACTCCCTTAGTTAGTTGGTCTATATGTCAAGTACAGTATCTGATAGATGAATATGTAAATTTACTGAATACCATTATCATCATCTGTTAGCCATTCGTTGTTGACACCGTTAACACTAACAGTAGTGACACAGTAAAATTCTATGTCTAATTATTAATCACTTGCCTAATGTGGAAATTTTGAATGATTGAAAATTTATTCATTTATTTAAACCCAAAAAGATTTGTACAACTGGACACAAAAATAATTATGCACCATGCAATAAGAAAACGAAATTGTAAAGTGACAGATGATGGAAAGTGAATACTATCTAAAAAAAAACCCAATTAAATGAGTAAAAAAAGTAGTTAAAAGACAATCATATATACCCGGAGAAATACTTCATTTATGAAATACAACTGGAAAAAATTCTTTACACTAAAAGAGTTCATCTCTCTTTTACGAAAAGTTTACAACTCAAGCTCCATCGACTTCCACTTTGAGCAATAGATAATCACATCTCAAGCTACTAATTTATATAATATATAGAAATTCAACTAGCGAGTCTTGATGACTCGATATATGCCATTCATAGATAACTTTCTTTCATACCCGGAACTGTGTTGTAAACTGATTACTTCTCTGCCCCCGAATGTTCTGGTACGGCCGAGGGTAGAAAGAGTCAGCTCTTCCTCTCGAAATGCTCTCACATAATCACGTCCATACAACCACTGCCAGGGAAGTCCTCTTCACCTCCTTCTCACACGACGGGTGTTGTTTAAGAAACTGAGAGGACAAAAAGCGAATGTCCGTGTTGGTGGATTCACCTAGGGGAGTTGGAAAACTCTGATTCCAAACCAATGATGAACATGGGCTCCAGTATCCCGAGGGAACAAATGGCGTATGAACCAATCGTTGGTCGCCGACTACCTTGGGATTGCATCTCCTGACGTTGTTCCATTGTGTTGTGGATTAGACTTAAATTCGCAGGCCCCGGCTGATGTTTCAAAATGATCTTACAAGTATGTTATTATCATTACTGAGATAGAACACGATTGCTGAATCTCATCAGTACTAACATGCTATTACCACCGAATGTTAGCAATCCTTTGGAGGAAAGTGTAACGAACGATAGATGATGTGGCATCAAATTGAATGTGAGTAATTGTCACCAAAAGCATTATAAATAGTTATCCATCCTAATCGTTTCACTAACACGGTGTATCCGATACAGATCAGTTGTTTTATAATTAACTTACTTGATAAAACTGTACTATAGTGATGACCTTGACCACCATATCAGCTAGTCTTAAGACAGTGTTTAATTTACAGTGAAAATATAGTAAGATTACGATGGTTAAACAGTTTTGACATGATAATTAAAGTATCATCACATGTTGAACTAAATACGACCGTAAGTAAAATGGAGTTAGAGTTAGGGATTTGTGGTTAAGCTAATGATAGCAGTTATGATAATGATTTAAGGTCGATATTTTTCTTATTGACACAAGCACCATTGACTATATCCTGAATATCACATCAAGTGTGTTCAACGAGCAATTAGCGTTTTAGATCCAATCTGTACTAGAAACAGGTGTTTCTTGCAATTAAGCTTACACATCATGTCATTGTTTATAGTTTAGTTGTCACAAAACATAAATTTATCAATCAATACAGACATTGTTTTCTTGGCTTTAGAGAAAATACAAACTATCTGTCTATGGGTTTTGACTTTCTTGCCAAAATTTCAGAGGATCTATTTGAAATTTGATATGATTGTCAGTATAATGTAATTTGATTTCTTAATGAAAAATCTATTGTTCTATACATACATTTTTACTCAATATAAACTCTTAAAATTATTTTGTAATCAAACGACTTTGATCGACGATTTTGTATGTTGTTACTTAAATCACTACCAATGAATCATTAAAACTCAATAATCTCCACTGATAGTTAACGTGTGCTCACTAGTACCTAGTTTCGAGAAAGAATCCTATAAGTTCTGACGAGAAGCCGTCACCAGTGCAGTTCAACTGTGTCGTGTGTGATGCAGTTACCAACCAACATTCATACCGTGAGACCCCAGCCTAGTGGTTTAGTGGTTAACTGTTCGCGCACGTAATTGAGGTTCATACGTTTGAGTCCCGTGTGCGGGATCATGGATGCGCACTGTCGAAAAGTCTCGTGCTAGGACGAAACAGCTGTTCAGTTCTTCCGGGTTTGCAATGGTCATCTATCATTTATCTGTTCATGATTTCAATAAACAGTTGTTCTTTTGATTGATATTGACCTCCATTTCACTGTTTCCTTTTTTCATGCCATGGATTTTCAAGGCGGCAGCGATGGGATTTGCTAGTTTAGTTGCTGCAAACTTGAATAATACTGGTGTCGCTATCAATTCTGCACCAGAAACACCAGAAACTATTAATGTTAGATCGGAAACTGGAAGTTTACCATCTCCTACTACAAATATCAGTTGGGTTGAACAACAACAACACATCGGAACTTTAGAAATACAAGCCTGTAAGCCAACTGTATCTCGAGGTCGTGGTCGCCCTCCTAAACCCAGACCTATTCAATTACCCGTTGCTGAACATATGCTAAATCGAAGTCAGTTTTATTATATTTCATTTCATTGAATTTCTGTTCACTGTTTGGCGTTTTTCATGGTCACGGTAATTTGAGTCAACACACTAGACAATGGTATGCTGTATATTACTGACTAACAGACTGACTTTATAGCTAGTTACTTCCTAGACATTTTATAACAATTATGTTGATTGTCTCTAGATATAACAACCTACAATCACTGATAAAATGGGTCCTTACAAATTAACCGGTCCTAATAAGTAAACGGTTGTTTTTTGGCTAGTAGTATTGTGCTTTTTTCGATTATTTGGTTTACGTATAAAGAGCATTGCACACCGTAGTTAGCTGACAACTATCCCTATGGACCTCCATTTCCTTTAGCAGAAGCTGTATTGTGTGATCATATGGATTTCTGGAACAAATACTTTGACTTGTCGATGCTTTTATTCAACTTGTAAAACAACCGTTTACTGTTTTATTGTACGAAATAACCATATTCTGTTAATCAAATTATCGTTTATATTTTATTTTATTAAATGTGATAGATTTTGACCTAAGATATCGTTCAAGTTTTATGATGATTTTTCAACCAATAAGTTAGTCAGTCGAATGCAACATAGAACCTGGCACATGTGTACATCAGTCCAGGTTGGCATATTCAAGTAGGACAGAGCTATGAAACTGGGTAAATCTCAGGTGTAAATGTAGTCGCAAAATTATTAGTAGTAATAGAAAAGATAAGTAATCTAAGATACAGATCAACAAATCGTATAAATTGATATTCGTTTATTTTCTGTGAACCAGAGCGTTATAGTATAATTGATATTTTCACACTGTTATCATTTTCAGGTGCTGTGGATTCAGAGAACGTGTTGGATTCAATTTCAAGGTTTGTCGGTTGTTTTGTTTTATAGTTAGTTGTATCTATAACGTCTACTTTAAACATTTCAATTAATTACTATCACTATTTTAGGGTAGACTATTATGTTCAGATATTATATTATATTATCCTATAGAAATCATTGCTGGCAAAATATCCGGAATCGAGAATTCTAACGTCAAAGAAATGTTCATCCCTCATGTCAGTTTTTTTCGTATTTCGTGATTCACTGGCTTTTAGTCAGCATCTAGCGAGTATTAAACAATTACTTATAAATTTCGATAATGTAATAAGAAGACGAAAATTATCAGAATTATGTGATATATTAGCGCAATACATTTCGAACGATCTGATAATACGAAAATTCAAACCCCCTTTGTCTATTCAAAAACAGTTTGTTCTCACCGTAAACCTTACCTACTTACTTACGCCTGTTACTCCCAATGGAGCATAGGCCACCGACCAGCATTCTCCAACCCACTCTGTCTTGGGCCTTCTTTTCTAGTTTCATCCAATTCTTGTTCATTTCTCTCATGTCTATCTCCATTTCTCAGCGTAATGTGTTCTTTGGTCTTCCTCTTTTCCTTTGGCCTTGAGGATTCCATGTGAGGGCTTGTCTTATGACGCAGTTTGGTGCTTTCCTCACTGTGTGTCCTATCCACTTCCAGCGCTTCTTCCTGATTTCTCCCTCCGCTGGAATCTGGTTTGTTCTCTCCCACAGTACGTCGTTGCTAATAGTGTCCGACCAACGGATCCGAAATTTTTGCGTAGACAACTGTTAATAAACACTTGTATCTTCTGAATGACGGCTTTCGTAGTTCTCCAGGTTTCTGCCCCATACAGTAGAACTGTGTTGACATTTGTATTGAAAATCCTGACCTTGGTGTTGGTTGACAGACAGTTGTTTTGAGTTCCAGATGTTCTTCAATTGTAAATATGCTGTTCTTGCTTTGCCGATCCGCGCCTTCATATCTGCATCAGATCCACCGTGTTTATCATTGATGCTGCCTAAATATGTAAAGGCTTTTACATCTTCGAAATCTTCTCCGTCAATTTTGATTGGATTGATGCATGCTGTGTTGTATCGGAGAATCTTGCTTTTTTGTTTGTGTATATTGAGACCTACTTCTGCTACAATGGTCGTTTTCTCCTGCATTTGTTGTTGCGTTTGGGATAGAAGGGCCATATCATCTTCGAAGTCTAGATCGTCCAGCCGCATCCTAGATGTCCACTGTATCCCGTGCTTCCCTTCAGATGTCGATGTCTTCATGATCCAGTCGGTCACCAGGCAAAAGAAGAGAATATGGAGTATCTTTGCAGTTACTGCTACGTCTGCTTTCAGTGCCTCTGCTGGAATGTTGTCTGGTCCTGCTGCTTTGCCACTCTTGATTTGCCTGATGGCCATGCTTATCTCTTCAATTGTTGGTGGGCCAACATCGATTGGGAGGTCCGTGGGTACTGCTTCGATGTTGGGTGGGTTTAGTGCGTCTGGTCGATTCAAGAGTTCTTTGAAGTGTTCTACCCACCTGTTTCGATGCTCTTCAATGTTGGTGATTACCTCGCCTTCCTTGCTTTTCACTGGTTGTGCTGGTTTGCGGCGATTTCCAGAGAGTTTCTTTGTCGTGTCATACAGTTGTCTCATGTTTCCTTCTCTTGCAGCCTTTTCCACCGTCATTGCTAGATCTTCCACATATTTATGTTTGTCGGTTCTGATGCTCCTCTTCACTTGTTTGTTTACTTCTGTGTATTCAGCTTGTGCCTTGGCTTTTTCTGCTCTTGTTCGGCTGGTATTGATTGCTGTCTTCTTGTTCCTTCTTTCTTGAATTATGTCCAGTGTATCAACAGTGATCCATTCCTTGTGATGGTGCTTCTTGTGGCCCAAAACCCCATGACTTGTTGAAGTGATTGCCTCTTTGATCCCCTTCTAGTTGCTCTCCATAGTAGTTCCTTCTCCATTGAGTAGATCATGAAAGGCCTGGAACTTATTGCTGAGGGCTATCTTAAATTTGTTGAGTTTGTCAGTATCCCGAAGAAAAGCTGTATTAAACTTTCGTGATATTGTCCGCCCCGTTGTTCAGTGCTTCTTGAGTTTCAATTTCATCTTGGTAACTAGCAAGTGATGATCTGATGCTATATCAGCTCCTCTCTTGGTTCTCACATCCTCCATCGTCCTCCTGAACTTTTTTTTTATGCAGATATGGTCGATTCGGTTTTGCATAGTGTGATCCGGTGAAGTCCATGTGGTTTTTATGAATTCTACTGAGTAGTGACATTCGGTCATATCCTGACTGAATTCTATCGATTAGGTTGCAACGAAGATGACACAAGTTCAAATATCACTTGACGAAACGGTTCCGTCAGGTTTATAGTTATACCTTGCTAATTTGTTCCAAATAATACAAAGCCTAAGTCAAACGGCTTTCCTGTCATCTACTTCAAATCAACTAACAAAATTTTGTGTTACGGTAAAATTCAGTTGGTCTTATGTTTTACTCTTGTTATGTAATACACTTAATTAATTAATTAATTTGCATGGAGTGAAAAATATTTATTCTACTATTGTTTCAATTTTTTTATTGTTTTTCGTATTCAGTCGTCCTTTTCAGACTGTCAACGAATCGCCGTTATCACATCATCCACCACACATGCACAAGAATCATTACAGGTTAAGGAAGGTACTCATCAATCATCTGAACAGAGTATTGAAAATCAACAGATGAGAATCAATGAAGTTCCAGTTGATACAGCATTGAAAGAGGTAATTTGTTCCCATCATATTCGATTTATAAATCGGTTTATTTTAAACATGTTTTACTCAGTTTTCTTGTGAATAATCCTCTGAATTGTAAATTTTTCACAACTTACCATAGATTGGTATAGGGTAGCTAGCAGTGGAATCCAAGACACGCGTTTCTCCCTATTTGGGATTCGTCTTTAACCGGATTTACATGTTGTTATTATTGAAATTCCTGAAAACACATTTTAGTCAAATAGAGAAACGTTCAAGTTTTCACCGACAGATTCTTTGTAGTTTAATCAATCTCTATGAGTAGTAATTATGCAATTGTTGATAGTCACTTGAAGCTCTTTATATCTTATATTTACCTAAAGTATGTTCTATTAAGAACTATTTTGTTAATAGTCGGACAAGTTTTCTTAAAAGTAGTCTACATCACCAAATATCACGAATCCAATAGATAAAATGATCATCCTTTCTCTTGATAGTATTTGATTATCGTTTGTGAAAAGATGGTTGGTTAGAGGGAGTTGTATTTGCCAACGAACAAGTAAATTTAATGATGGTAAACTTATAAAACACTCGATTTCTTCTCTTTCGATTGTATATAACAGGCAATTTGATATTATCCATTAATTTAAACATTAAACCTTATGGCACCATATTTCATGGGGGCATTAATTAGACAGAGTTTCTTGGATTCTTGCGTACAATGAATTCATCTATATAGGTACAAAACGTTTTTTGTATTATAATCGATGTCAGTTTATGATATGCATTTTATCCCGTAAACACCTAATCCCTACCTGGAATGCCTGACTTAACCAACAATGTGCATTTCCCTCAAATAGAACAGACAAATAATCTGTATCCATATGAACAAATTCATATACCTTTGATTTTCGATTTACAGGCAGAGTAACACATTAGAAATATCAATAATTCTATTAGGTATGTAACATCTGTTTTTACTCTGTAATATTATTTTGCCCATAAAACATCCATTTAAAAAAGCTCTGTTCTGATTGGTTGGAAACCGACTGAATTTCGTCGCAGTTATTTTAATCCCATCCCTTTACTCTACTCTTGATCCGATCTGGTAACATCACTTTAAAATTTCTTTTTACTTCACTTTTATTATCTATCGTATTATAAAATTCTAATTATTTATTTGTAGACTGACGATAGTGCTATATCTCGCTCCCAATCAGATTCAAATAACTCTTTAACAATGTCGATAAAGTCATCGAAATTGCTATCGATGAAACAGACAAGCAAAAAGAATTCTTTACAATCTAGCATCAAAATGAAATCCGAAGTCGATCATTTGACTATCAAAAGTATGGCTAATTCATCTATTCTGGGTTTGGATGCTTCATCAACATTATTAAATCAACAACACTGTCGTTTACCTAGTCGTAATAGTTTTTTCAAAGATGCTACCATATCCAGGTAATTGCTACTTTTTTAAAGGTCAAATAAAATTTTTTGGAGTTTATATATATATATATATACTTGTCTATATGATGTACTGCTTTCAGTGTATCTCACCTGTCTCTTGATGAAAACTTACTGACGAATCAACTTAGACCAACATAGCTAGTTCTATAACCTTTTGGTGTTCGTCAGAGCTGACCACTCTCTCCATTCTTGTTAACCTTTGTCATTGACGTACTTTTAGAGATAACATTTTCCTCGTCTAGATTTCCAGGGGTTGAACTTCTACCAGGAGGTTCACTTGTTGACTTAGAATATGCTGATGACATAGTTTTATTTGGTGAAGACGCTGACAAAATGCAGAGTCTTCTGACCACTCTAAGCAACAATGTTAGCATGTTCGGGATGCGATTCTCTCCCTCGAAATGTAAAATGTTGCTTCAGGATTGGGTGTCGACCGCTTCACTTATCTTGGAAGTCTCATCAGCCCTTGTGGTTTGGTGTGTGACGAAATCTCAGCACGGATACAGAAGGCTCGACTAGCTTTTGCCAACTTGCGTCATTTATGGCGTAGGCGAGATATCCGTCTATCAACCAAAGAACGGGTTTACTGCGCAGCAGTTCGTTCCGTCCTACTTTATGGCAGTGAAACATGGCCGGTAAGAGTAGAGGATATTCGTAGCTTACTAGTATTTGATCATAGGTGTCTTCGAAACATTGCTCGTATATCCTGGGACTATCGAGTCAGTAACGCAGTTGTCTGGAAACGGGTACTAGGTAAGGATGGCAAATCAATTGATGGAGTAGTGAAACTTCATCAGTTGAGATGGCTGGGACACGTGTTACATATGCCAACCACCGACTACCTCGACGTGCGATGTTCAGTGGTATAGGAGTAGGTTGGAAGAAAGCTAGAGGCGGCCAAACCAAAACATGGCACAAGTCCATGAAGTCACTGACAAGTGGACTGAGTCATGTTAGTAGGTGTAGACTACCTGGTTGGGGACCACGAGATGAAAGCAACCGATGATTAGAGACCTTGAACGACATGGCTTAAAATCGTTTGCAATGGCTCAGGTGCATCCAATCCTTGTGTTCTCCCAAATTTTGATCTCCTTATTCCTCCTTGTTTCTTTTTTTTCTCTTCCCAAATTTATTTCACTGTATTATACTCTTTAAATAACATCTCCAAACCCTAATCTTCCCGATTACTGCTTATACTCTTACTACCTCTACCACTATGAGATGTGATTCGACAAGTGCATCTCTGTGCTAATGTGGTGTGGCAACTCGAACTGATGTACGTACGTACGAAGTTCTACGTTGTTACTGACTGACTGACTGACTATAACCTTTTGAGAGACTAGGAAAGTACTGTACATGTATTCGTCTTTGTTGGTTAGTTGTTGAGATCTGTGTATTTGTGTAACTATGTAATCTGTTATCACAATGTTTAACTCGTCGAATCAATGTTCGTGTGTCGAACTCTTATGAAACCAACATATATCATATCTCGATGAAGTTTAAATTTTAAACGTTCGAGCATATAGTACATCATCGGGTGCATTACTTTGCCGTTTACACCATACAAATAGTCCTGAAGTTCTGAAACTTCTGTAGTATTGCTTTTATGAGTACTACCTCAAATTCTGAAGAGTTTATTTCAATTTGCCTTTGCTCAATTGGTGAAATTCTAATCAATTATTTTCATTGGTTTTCATTTTACATCTAATTTTTTCTTCTAGTTTGGAACAGATTTCATTTCTCAAAGATCGTTGTTTAAGTGGTCCACTGTATGAATTATTCTGTAAATTTCTTGATGAACCTGATCCACTAGAACCAAATTATCGCTTTGTGCTCCTATAATATACTTACCATCACCTGAAAGGTAAACGTCATAGTTAATTAATAATTTTGTTTTGGTAAATAGTTTCATTAATCTTGTGATACAACAGTGTTTTTTTAAAACAGTTTTGGCACTACGTAAAATTACTTGATTCTATACAAATTCGGTATCTATTTGTAACAAATTTTCTCGTGAATATTACTTTTGATCGTGGTATATGCTACTTATGCTGACAGATATAAGTAGTTTGTAACAACAATTAGAGGTGGAATATCTGCTTAGAGAAATTTTAGTTAAGCAGAACATGAATGTAAACAGAGAGCTACTGGAATAATGACTGAGTTTTAAGAAACATAAAGTATGATTTTACATTAAACAATAAATCGGTTTTGCCTACCTGAATTTTTGTTCAGTTTATATGATAATTCATAATTCATACAAAATCTTCAGTCATATTGTTCTCATATTTCAATGAGTGTTTTTCTCAAAAAACGTCCACAGTATGTAAATCACTTCTCAGTTAAATTAAATTAATCATTTCTTATTATTGTAAACATATAAGGTTATTCATTTGGTGTTGTTTTACTTGTATCTTCCTATTGTTATTTATGACTCCAATTGATCAGTCTCATGTTGGCATCTGTACATCCTGTGTAGATTGCCTCGATATAGCCTTAAGTCACAAGCTTTTTAAGGTCATTGTGTTTTTTTTTTGTTTTACTTTTTACTACCTTTAGAAAAAGAAAAGATGAATCTCTTTTAAACTTATTACACTAGAGTTGTATGTATCGGATGAAAACCCGGTTATGGTTTTTTTTTAACTGGTCCCTAGTTTCTCCAGAGTCTTATTGACTTGACCTTAGAAAAAAAACGGTAAACAGAAAATGTGTAATATAAAAGAAAAGATAAAGTGTATGTGTGTGTGTGTGTGGGTCATTTTGTATTGTTATATATATATATATCAGTTAAATTAATAATGTTATTTATTTTCAATATATATATTATTTTTTATTATTCTCATACACAGATATCCGGAATTTTATCGATTTACCTTATCATCACATTTATCTGGTTCTGGATTAAATGTTAAATTTACATCGAATTTTACTAATCGTCTATTTTCATCAATTGGTGATAATGATAATGATGATGATGAAATTTATCATGTTGAATATCCATCACTTTGTTTAGCCAGTATTGCATCACGATTTATTATAAATTCAATAAAAGATCAAACATTAAATAATAATAATAATTTGTCACCTCATCATCATTTATTACATGTTGAATTATCAGAAAAAGAAGAAAATCATTTTCTCCTAGTTACAAATGCTAATATTATGGAAAGTTTATATTCATTAGATATAGCTATGGATAATATGTTCACTGTATGGGAAGCTTTTACTGGACGTCGTAGTTGGTTTGGTCGACGTTTAATGAAATTAAAAAGTGTTTATATAAAACATCGTGTAAGTGGGATTTTTTTTGTTTGTTTATGTTAGGGTTAAATGTATAATATATCTCATTGATTTTTTGTTTTCAGATTAGGATTGTCCTGTTTTGTCGTTGATCATTTATGTATACTCTCAAGTTATTTTAATTGAAAAAAAATTTTCTGGCAATTATTTTCTGTTTCATGAATTTCCGTTTTATCTCACGTAATCGACAAGATCAGATACACCCTTATTCTTGATAGATAATGGTGAATTTTCACGTTTGTTAACTTTCGCTTTTGTATGGTTCTGAACAGCTATTTTTTTTATCATGCTCTGAAGCCTTGCTACCTGAAAATGTGTTTAGTAATAGAAACTCTATGCTTTTTGTGACGTAACATCTGGGATTTGTCTGTTTGCTCATGTGTGACACTATATACTAGGTTGGGATCATACCTAGTGTTTAATGAGTTATGTATTACTGAGTAGTTGTTTAGAAGGAACACGTTTTTGCTTCCCAATCTTTGAAACTTTGATTAAAGACTGAATGCCTAATTTAAGTGAACTAAACCTGTTCATAAATACAGGAAATACTATACTTATTTTAAGTGTTTGATATCCAACAAACCACTATACTGTCTATGTATATCAATTAAGAGCTTTCCAGCCCATTTATTCCAACCTATCAATTTAATTTTCATTCATTTGAAGTAACACAGCTTTCCTATAATTGAAATCAAGAGTCAATTTAAGGTAAACCATCATTAAATACTTGAAAGCATTGAACGGCCGTTCCATCCGCAGTCCCCTTCACGGGACTCGAACTCAGGACCTTCAGTTCCATGATCGGACTTTTAACCTCCACTCGATTATTAACTGATTTTTTGTCCTTTTATGGTAGCTAGCAGTGAAGTTGCATGGTTCTGATATATATTTCTCATTTCTTACTTACAAACTTTTAACATGAACGGTTCTGCTGAAGACTTGATAACAGCTAATGATACAAAACACCTCGATGATTAACCGCTGACACAGTAGTGAGTCAGTGTAGCTTAATATTTTTTCAGAGCAACTTGAAATGATACAGTTCAGTATATCTAATAATAAGTACTTTAAGCTAAGTTACACAAATATTAGTGAACTAAGACTGCCAAGCAATCAGAAATGGTCACTTAGATATTGAGACGAGAAAAAAGCAGTTGTGGTTACCGTTAAATGAAACTTTCATATAGTTATTAACAGAGATCTAGTAATCTCACGAATTCCTTACCTCAAAATTAGCACTCCTTGCCTGAAACAACACAATATTACCCACGAGACTACATTCAGGTTATTGTGTTCTCAATGTTATATGTAAACTAGAATCATAGAAATATTTTGGATGTCGCGGTAGGGTTGTTTTTGTTATGAAGGTCACTTTGTTAACAACTATTATACGCGCTTCAGTTGAGAGGGCTTTAATCTTCCTATCTTTGCTCATTTCGTCTAGTTCTGTGATTAAAATTTCGGCAACTTGAACCGATGTACTCATGTGGCATATGTTTACATTGGATTTTTTTGAGCGGCAATTAAACAGCAGAATACAAACTAATCCATGCTTTTTCATAATTGAATCAATCAGAAATTCATTTAGAGTTTCAAATTTTTATCGCTCTTCAAGCTTGACTTTTTCGGAAAGCAAACATCTATCCTGTGACGTTATCACTGTTGTTGTTGTTATCACAGTATTTGTTTGTTTACAATAGCACAAAATCATCAACATTTTCAAGCACATCAACATGATTATGTGTGTGTGTGTTTTCTTTCAATTTCCCAATATTTACTGGTCGTTTCTGCTTGTCTTTTTCGTAGACTAATTTGGTTGAAAGTTTAAAGTTGGAGAATCACATACCGGTTGCAATGCCAAAATCGTTTATACCATGTATAACTAAATCACAAAATAACAGTTCTAAGAAAAAAGTAAGTTGACTGTTAGATTTTTCTTTTCTTTCATATTTGATACTAATTTTGTTATCATATTGTTCTGGTATATTCTTATTCACTATGATTTCGTTTGTTAGTGTTCTATACTCATTAGGATGTTTATTATGTGTAATATTTCTCACCAAGTGAATTTTATCTAAAGCGTTCGTTAGGTAAATACACTCAGATAAGTTTGAGTTATATCGCTGTTAATATTTACGATTGAGTTTTCATCAATTCTTGTTGCCGTATATGGACTCCTTTCACCATTCCTTCGATGTAATCGTTATGAATATCAATGATGGGATAACACGAACCTTACTGATAGAGACAGGTATATACATTAGCTCCGTTTAGCGAGCTTGTGGCCATCTGGACTCAGTTGATAACGCATTGGACATTAAAAGCGAAAGCTACACGAATTTTTCAAAGTTGCTTTTATATATATATATATATATATATATATATATATATATATATATATATATTAAATATTCACTATATGAACTATTTTTCACTTTCATTTAATTACTTAGACTGATCGTCGTGCACTAGAACGTGGTGCTGAAGTTATTCGATGTTTGTGTGGTTTTCGTGTTGAAGGTGGTCATGTTATGGTTCAATGTGATTTATGTGCATCATGGCAACATCTACCATGTTTATGGTGGGCACTTAGTCTGGCTATTCGTAATGATTCCTCCAATGGATTAAATTCAAACTTAGTTCGTTTATGTCAAACAGCGTTAATTGCTGCACAAGCTGTTGGTGGCGGTGGCGGTAATACAGTTGAGGTAGATGTGAAAGGTGAAGATGATCGAGAAGTTGATGCTCCTTATATATGTCCAGTTTGCTTGAAATTGGATAATTTAACAAAAGTACGTTTCATTGTATTTTTTTTTAAATACTTGTAAAAAATCAATATAATTATCTTCATTTTTCCTATTTCTTTGGAAGTTATCCATAATTTCTATTCATTATTTACATCAATTAATGTAATGGACATTTCATTTGGTAAATACTTCTGGTATGATGTGATGCGTACTTTTACGAAATGGTATTTTGTTCATTACTGATTGGTAAATGTTTCAGCTGAAGCTATAAATTCAATATATAGTTGGTAGAGATTTGCAATCCTTATTCTAAGTAAATACTTGGTTTATAATAGAATCTATGGTTTGTGTTTGAACACATTTATTTAACCTGTTAGATAACATTTCCAACAGTTTCATGGAACATCGATTCAGATTATGTGAAGTGTTTTTCTCATGTAGAAATGGAAAACAGTAGCATTCTAGAATAATGAATGATAAGATGGTTGTATGATCTGTATTACTGTGGTTCGGCTTTCCATAGAATTTAATTGCCTTTATTTTTATTCAAAAAAAAAAAAACAGACTGCTTATTTTTATTTGGAGACCAAATGTCTTGGTGGTGTGGTTATGAATATACACTACCGAGAAATCCCATACCAGGACGAAACGACCATCCTGTGATTCAGGTTCTCATCATTTGTCTAACTTGAATCAGTTCTGGATTTCAATAAAACTTAACAATCTCCACAACCCGATACCGACAGTTCATTTTTCCTTGAATCCTATAATCTATAGTTAAAGCTGTTTACTACCCCAAATACTGTTACTACTTTAGCATTTCTGTAATGTAATAAATTGTGGCAATATGAATCGATGCATTCATATTTCCCTAGTTCTATATTACTTAGAATTAATGAACTGTTTTTCATGACCATTTATTATAGTGCATCGATTCATTTCCACTTCTTTGTTGGTATATTTTTTTTATACTTAGTATAAATTTGGTCATACTTAAAACTAAACATTCTAGGTTTCCTGTCTAGCTAATTAACTGACTAACTAACTACTATATAATTTAGAATGAATAAGTCGATTTTTCTAGACATTAATCTCTCTACATACATGTCATCCTCATATTTTCTTTATCTCAACAAATATTTCTTGTCATTTCTTCAAATATTTTTCACCATCCCATTGATTTCTATAACTAATTTTTCTATTGTAAAGGAATATCCTCGTTCATTATCTGCGGCAATGAGTTTAAACGATATAGATGCTGTCTTTGACTTACAAGATACACTGGTGAAAGGTGAACATGAATTCTGGACATTGGGTAGTCCTGATGGAACTTGTCAAATACGTACAGATGATTATGCATTTGTTAATCGTTTCTGGTTAAATCATCTCAATATTTCACAGGATATATCAAAGGGAACAACAACAACTGTATTAACGAATGTTAAACAACTTTTAGATCAATCCTTACAGTCTCCAGTGAAATCTGCTTATGATCGTATTATTGTTCGAATTTATCGATTATGGAAGGATGTCAGGTTCGAAAATTTTTGATTTGTTGAATATTTTTTTCACGATACCACTTAATCTTTTCTGTTATACATCATCCACTCTACAGTTTGGCTAGGAGTTAGAGGGGACAGGAATTTTCAACAGGAACTCTACTTGATCAAGTTCTGATGCTAATGAACACTCTCCTGGTAGCCGTACTCGCTATATTTATTTCTTTGAACACATGAATATTGGTACAAGAGGGCACCAAATATATATGCGCCACATAAATCATTCGATTTGTGTGAGGGCTGTGATACTGCCCGGGTGCCCAGACCGAAGCAGGTAGTTTTCTTAGGGAGTCACACCCGGAGCCTTCGACCTAAAGGTCTGATCTACAAGGCAGTGGAGCATCGTCAAGAGATACAGTCCCATGGTAGTCAGTGACCAATAATTGGTTCATACGCCATTTATTCCTTCAGGATCTTGGAGCCCATGTGCACCATTGGTTTGGAATGAGGGTTTTCCAACTCCCCTAGGTGCATTCTCCATGCCCACTAACCCGGTTAAAGCGTCGAACATTCTCTTTTCGTCCTCTCAATTTCGTAAACACACGAGAAGGCAGTGAGTAGGACTTCCGTGGCAGTGGCTTTATACGCGTGGCCATGTGAGAGTATTTTGAGAGGGAGAGCTGACTCTTCCTACGCTCGGTCGTACCAGAGCATTTCGGGGCCATCCGTACTCGTAATTTTGAGGAAACTTGTACACCTTGCTAACGAGTTTTAATTAGCATGAAACCTAGATTCATGGTTTCCTGGTGATTAATTTTAACAACCTACTATCAAAACAGTACCCGTGCAATATTAATTCAGTTAAACTAGTAACTCTTATTTTGACTTGTTCGATAAAATCCAAACGATACCAAAAGCTTAGCTATAATTGACATTCGTCATTACTCAATAATCAGTCAGTTGATAATTACTTACTTTTGATTTAGATCATGTAAGATTTGTTTTTTAAGCTGAACTTAATAGTAAAGCTCAAACATATCCACTATTTCTTACTTGTCCAATAACAATATATTAGTTTTTAATGATGCCTTTAAACTCATTTGTGATATTGCTGTACGTTCTATATCTCAAACTGTCAAGATTTAAATCACAGTATCCTGGTAATATTTTGAGTCACTGATTTTTCAAAATTTTATTTTCGTGACCGATATTATGTGTTATCGATTGACTGGGTACTTCATCGACACACGATGCACCAACTGAGATTATACTACATTAGACAAACGATTCGCCGTCAAATATAGAGAACTACAGTATATGCTTGATAAAAAATACTTCACTCAACACAATTACAAACTATCTATAAACTCAGTCCAGAATAGCTGAATATTTGTCACCATCCAACACCCATTGTTCTATCATATTTTATTTTCACAAACTACATTTCAATGCTTTTCAGATCCATTCAGTGTTATAGTCTACATGATTAAATTTATGAAAACTGTAATGTAGATTGTTGGATAAACAACTATTGTTTCTAACACATTTTTTAGTGGTTTAGCTTGGCTAGAAGGTGGTTTATTTCTGCGTCCATATGATTTACCTCCGATATCGGCAATAACTGATTCATCAAAATGTCCACAATTTGGCATCTTGATGAAGTCGTCTACGATGAGGCTAGACGTGTTATTCTTCCATTAGACGCTTGGATTGGTAGATGTATGGTGTTATGCCCTTCAGCATATAGAGTTGGTAGACCAGCTGATTTACTATATACAGCACATATAAAAGAATTTATGCCATCACTGAAAAATGACAATCTGAATGATTCCAATTCTACTGCAAATCAGTTTCAATATTTCTTTGTTTGTGAAAAATTATTTGAACAGTCATCAGTTGATAATCATAGTTGTAGATTTGATGAAATATCTCCTGGTTACTTAAAAGTCAGTATGAAGGTATGTGAATTTGAGATCTAAATATCCATAGCAATAATCTGTTGTTATACTTTGTTTTGTTTTTTTTCACTGTCGGCTAGTTAGATTTTGATGCTGTTAAAAGTTATCTCTCACTTCAGTTTAGTTATATTCAATCTAGTGGTTTTTGGAATGTATAAAACATGAAGACAAACTCTGATTTGAAGTTCATTTTCATGATAGTCCGATATCAGTTGAAAAACAAGGTGTTAGTCATTCACAACGTAAAATCAAACACACATGTAAATCGGTCCAGGCTGTCACACCACTCTTACCGTAGTTACTTCATTGGAATGATGATCAAGCTTACCAATTGGGGTATATTCTCTAGAAATTCTTTTGTTTATGTTCTATCAGAACGGTTTAATTGAAGTGTTCAGCTCAGTGATCGAAAGAGAAAACTTACCGTTGATTGTACTGAGGTGTTACGATTGTGAGATGTTTTCATCAGACAACCAACATTCGTAGCCTTTTCACACCGGAGGGTAACTGGCCCAAAAAATGAGATGCTTCAAATTACCTCATAGATTCCCATCACTGGTATAAAGGCCGTTTAAATATGGTTCTAATTCTCAAATTCTCACACAAGACTTACGTATGATCAGCTTCAAATAACTGTCCTTTTTCCGAGTGCATACTTCCAGGTCTCTTAGACTACTACTTATCTAGTTTTCTTATCAGGTGTTTCAAAAAAGAATATTTACACCGTGTGGGCGTCCGTGAAGTGATGGCTACCTTCATATCTCTAACAATACTTGGGATTACTTTGTATATTACTAAAATTAGCGAGCACTTGATATTTAATTCTGCTTCACCATATCCTTGGTAAGCATCCTTTGAACGTTCAAAACAAAGACAGCATAACTGTTTAGAGCTCTCTGGTTTATAGTAGTTTTTTATTGATACTAGTACGGAAAAAAGATAACCTTGTGTTAAATTATCTTCAAAAAACCTTATGCCCTAAAGCATTTGTTTCTTCAATTGAGAAAACAGGTGGAAATTTATCATCTTGGGTAATCACTAATCACAATTACAAACTCTGTGTCTTTCATGATGATTTCGAGCTAATTACTTTCAGCTAGCTTATGCTGAAACATACAATTAACGATTCCATCAGACTAGGTGTATTCAGTTCATGATCTCAATATATAAAACTTAATAATCTCCACAACCCCTATACTGATAGGTGTTTTCTATTAATTAACGAATTCTATATTGTTATACGATATGTGTATAATCGTTTAACTAAAATGTTTACGTTACCCTCCTGAAAGATGTATGATAAGAAATTACACAGTGAAATCTCATATTCGCGATTATTTACCGTTTCATCTGGTAATTTAATAATTTATTTCGTTTCTAATACTTTTTAACGTAATATACGCCGTCTCAAAATATTCATTTAATTATTTGTTAAAGGTTTAGAACATATTAAGGTTGGTTCAAATTGTAGAATTTCTGAATAATTCTAGGTAGTAGTCGAAAAGAACATGATAATTACAGTCTTTTAACTTTCAACATACAATCTTGCCGCATTAGTATACAGGCTGTTTCCAGGTGTCTAATACTTAATGCTTTTTTAAAAGTTTTAGTCTCTTGAACATACTAGTTAGCCGGAAGTATTTATATGTGTCGTTTTTACTGTTAAATGAGAATAGTACACAAGAAATCAATTTCTTCGTGATGTTATAAACACCAGCGATTTCGGTAAAATCTCTGTCATAAAATGAATAAGGTAATTCTGAAAACCAATAAAATGAATGCTACTAATTGTTACATGAAAAATCTTTTTATTATTTTCCCTTACATAGCCGTATTGTTTCCTTCGTAAACCTGATAATCAATGTATTCGTGGTAGTTTACCACGACAGTATTCAGCTATTGAACTACTCACCCGTGATCAAATACCTTTCTCAGAAGCATCTGTCAAAGACGAACAAACATTTGAAATCAAAACGTCTCCTGAAGAATGTACTACAACATCTGGAAATGTGTCCAATATCGATGAGAAGAATGCTACAGTTCCAGTTGGCAGTTTAAAGCAAAAGGTTTGTTTGAGTTTCTTGAGAATTTGTGTTCTTATAAGTTCTATCCAACTTCATTCGTTTTCCTAGTGATAATTTTTTATTTTGCCCATTCAGTAATTATTCGTTTTTCTGGGCTCCTTGTGGACAGTAGTCATGTCATGGAATTTTCGCAGACTATATTATTGGTAGACGAACTATGTTATCGTAACTTATACTTCAAGATCTATCGTTTTTTCTCAAGAAAATAAATAACCTTAGCTACACATCGTGTTTTATTTATTTATTTATTTCAACACACAAACTTATACACCACACACTATAGTTATTAATAAACTTTTTTGTAGGCTAAGATACCTCCTGGGGACCCAAACCAGAGCACGTGGTTTTCTTAGAGAGCCACTCCGAGGTCTGGAGGTGCGGTTCCATGATAGCCGATGTCCAATAATAGGTTCATACGCTATTTGTTCCCTTTGGGACCGTGGAGCCAATGTTCACGATTGATTTGAAATCAAGATTTTCCTATTCTAATTGGATATTCCGTACCCAATAACTCTGTTTAAGCACCTATTTGATATTCTCTTTCAGTCCTCTCAATTGGGTAAACAACAACCTGTTCGCGAGGATGCAGTGAATAGGACTTGCGTGGGAGTGGTTATTTATGTGTTGCTATATGAAGGCTTTTGGGTTCTTTCTATCTTCAGCCATACCAGGGCATTGCGGAAGGTGTTACACAACATGTCTCAACATGTAAATACGAAAGTATTTTAAATGTTCGTTGTCTATAAGACGTATGTTACATCCTTGATCTTCCTATCCAGTAATATACAAGAGAAATCTTGTCCCGATCCAAGTTATGGCTTTGATACGATAAGCCAATTGGTTCCAGTGTGAGGCTAGAAATGCGTGGGTCCGAATAAGGACTAACGATATTGGGCAAAATGTTATTCTATCGTATAATTGATTGAAAACGAGAGAGAGAGAGAGAGATCGAGTCAACTAAAACATTACTCGACTCAGATTAAAGTGAGAAGATACATGGAGAAATAGGTGACTAACGTGATCGTAACTCACAAACAATTAGGGAAATACAATTATGTTCAAACTTGGCAAATGGCACAAACAGTTACGTTTGAATTACAATAGTTTTGGAACAGAAAAGGCTATAACACTGATTCAAGCATCAAGCGAAAGCCTATGGTTTATAGAATAAACTATGGAAAAAACAAATTTTAGTATTTTACAAACGTCGGATTAGGTGAAATAGTGTCTCCAAAAATAACTTTCATTGTTTAACATGGCTTCTTTATTTCTCTGTTCACATCAACATAGTTGTTATTTTTGTTTGATTTTAAGGTTGTCAATTTTTGATGTATCATTAGGCTAGCTAGCTATCATGAAATTCGGAGCATGCTATCCTGTCCTATCCAGTATGGTTGGTTGATAGCTAGATGTACTTGTATACCAGTATTGATTTATGCGCCGGAGCTTGAACTCAGTACTTTCCACTTCAAACACCTGTTGCTTTATCCACTGAGTTACTGAGTCCAGATAGCGATAGAATAGCTTATCACTTAATCGCTATATAGAACCGTTTCTCAAAGAAGACACATATTATTCCCAACAAAGACTGAAGTTCAGCCAGTATTTTAAAAAAAAGAGATTATTGTAGGGTACTATTACTGCTTCGATAGATGTATACTGGCTTTAACTCCCATGCGTAATTTGTCTCTCAAAGCCTCTCATACACTAAATTTAGCTTAATTACTTAACTGGTATTTATTGTGTCAAATTTTTCTACCCTTAGGTTTTTGTAGTATTGTAGTGAACAGAACACGGATGGGAACAATCGAATGTATTTAACACAAAATTACAGGACTTGATAATAAAATCTAACAATCATAAAGTAAATGCTTAAATTGCAAAATGTCCACCAGTTGCCTCAAAATGACTCAGACTTCATTGTTCTTGCATTTTCATACAAATTGCATTCTGTTTCGATTCTTTACTTTTCGATCCTCTTGTCTCTCTGCTGCCAGACCTGTTCACGACTAACATCATATACTACTTATGCCAATATAAGTAGCACACACCACAGTATGATCTTTGTACTTCTAGGCTTGATTTCTCCGTAATCGATTTGAGTGTGGTTGTGTAGCATTGCATGCAATAGTAGTGATTTTTTCACCACATACAGTTTTCTAGATAACTTTTAGTTATAAGAAATTGTAAGTTAAGTCACTGGAAAGGAAGGTTTATGTTAATTGAGCCAGTGACTTCTTGAGACTTTAGTTCTTAGTTTTCAACGAATAGACTACAGCCTCACACAATTCCATTTACTATGAACAACTTAATGAAGATGTGTCATCAGTCTATGAATTCATTTATTATTGGTTAAACCTGTCCTGTTAGGTATACAATACCTGGTCGGGGGTCCTCTAGATAATTGCAGTCAATGGCCGGAGACTTTGTACGATATGTCTTTCATGTATTTGCTTTTGATCCTAGCCCATCTAGATCTTAAGATTTCATGTTCCTTCACAAATACCTTTTTATTTTATCTGCGTGGACCGTATTTTCAATGTTTGGTCTTTCTCATTGTCATCACTAATACATTATTTCTATTTCTTCGCTTTTGATCCTGCTAATTTTATTTTGTCGTACTAACGTGGTATGAAAGTTTGGGTTAGTACACATTCGTGCTATGCTGTATCTTGATAAGTGACTATTTATTTATCTATTTCAGTTCACTCAGTTGAGTAGCATCATTCGTCCTCACAAAATTATTAATATGATTATTCTGATGTACAGTGACAATGACTTTCAAGATTAAATAATTCCATTCTTAATTTACACTGTAAGTGCACCATCACTACAGTTAGTGGATCGGTCCACTTTTAAAGTTTATTGTTCCTAATTGTTGATATTTACGTATAAAGTAATAAGTTTTAACTCTTGAAAGCGGTTCCATTTTATGCGGAATAATGTTTTTGGATTTGAAAAAGGATAACTTAAACATTTTTGTTTACTCCTTTTTTTATGTAATTGATTTATTTATTCTTTGTTGGTTCTGAAAATCTAGGGTGAAAAACTAGCTCGTGTTGTTGACTGGTTGGAACGGAAACGTCAAACCAACTCTTCACAATCCACAGTTACATTACCTCAAAATTCCATTGTTCCAGAACAACAACAACAAACTTCCATTTCATTGTTACCCGTCGAAAATAATCCAGTTATTGATGAAATATCATTACCATCATCACGTAGTTTGTGTTCTCGAGGTCGAATTCCACTTAGAATCAATCGTGGAAGAAGTAGAAATTTCAATAAATCATTGAAACTTACATCATCTAATCCTGTACCATTATTACCTGATAAATTTTCTACAATAACTGCTGTACTCCCCGATAAGATTGATGAAATATCATCCAGTAAAGAAGATGAATCTCTCAATATTCCCGTTAAACGTACATGTATGTCAGAAAATTCATCACCGACTCAATCAAATATTGTTCAAATATCATCTGAAATTAATGTAGACCATAATTTATCGTCATTAGTCATAATCGATTCAAATAATTCATTATGTAATACAGTTGATAAAAATTCACCTAAACAACTCTCAGATGATCCTCTTATCTCATCTAATACAGAAGAAACTAATGTGAATACTTTAGCATTAAATTCTATTGTCCCAATCACTTCTACTACAAATAATAATAACAACAATTCACCTCTTAATTCACTTAATACTTTAAAGCCATCTGATTTACAGTCTAATGAAGATTCTATGGATCGTTTATCATCAGTAATATTAAAACCTACATCAAATAATCAATCAATTATTACGTCACCTACTGATGATCATTTGAATATTTCATCATCACCTAGTTTTGGATCAACAAGAAAACGTAAATGTTCCATTACACGTAAAAGATTAGTACCAGAACCAGAATTACTTCATGAAATTATTGACAATCTACAAAATAATAATAATACTTCATGTTTAACCGCTAATCACTTACCTGAATTAAACCATAACAATACATATGATAATATATCTATTGAAAGTTTAAACAATTCAATTCATATATCAGATGATACTAAACACTTATCACCTTCAACTAATCAAATATCTTCAATAGATCGAACATTATCAATCCAATCATCATCATCATCGTTGTCGTCATCATTATCATCATCATTATTATGTACACATTTATATGAATCAAATTTAATTTGGAACGATGATGATGAAACTTGTTTAATGAATATACAACCAATTTTCTCTAGTCATATTACAATTCATAAAGTTCTAACAGAAATTAAACATTTTGCATTGAAATTCAATCAACCAGTTATTATGTCATTTAATCATGATAATAACAATAATAATAATAATAATTTAAAATCAATAAATGATTGTGATCATCAACTTTCAACATCAACAATTTCTTCAAATTATTCATTGAATCAAATTGATATCACGAGTCAATCGATAATCGATGATAATAATAATGTACCAAGTTCCAAAATATTCATCGATGACAGTTCAATAAATCCTTTAAATAAAGACCAATCTATTGAATCATCACATGAAAAGGAAGTCGTTGTAGATGATGATGATCATCATCATCATTATAACATTTCTCTTACTTCAACTGAAAATATATCTCATACGAATAATGATATTGATATAGATGATGTTAATGATAATAATAATTGTATTGTGAATAATAATGTAGAAGATGAGAATATTTCATTCATAACAACTAATCATGATAATAATTCATTGTTAGATACTTCTATAGATTTACTCAATAATCTAACTACTAATACTACTACTACTGAACAAAAAGTTAACGATAGTAATATTGGTGTTAGTTGTGAATTTTCTACAACCGTCATTTCAATTCCAGATAATAATAATAATAATAATAATAATAATAATAATAATAATAAAGAATATAAATCATTTACAAAATTTGCTGTTGAAACATTAGTTTCAGATGATTATTCAACTATAAATTCCATTTGTACTACGTATAATTCATCTCCTGAAAAAGATTCATCATTATCCCCAAATAATAATAATAATAATACTTTATTAAAACATAATGAATTATCTACTGAATTAAATAATGATATTAACATGATTGATAATTCAACCGTCAACAATCAACAATGTGATGAATCTATTTGTCAAGATAATACACTTTTAAACTCTTCATCATCATCATTATCTGTGAAAGATGAAATCAATCAATTTGTTGTTGAGAATGAGACGACTACTACAGAAATTATCTCTCCTATATCATTAGTAACAAATTCAAAATCTATATCTAATGATAATGATTCTCCTCCAATAAGCATTGGAACACCTGTATTAGATGAAAAGTTAGATTCACTAGAACACATATCCACTGATATTATACCTGAATGTTTTCAATCAATTAAAACTAGTTATAATGTTACAGATTTACAAACTCCGATTGTTCAAAATTGTCAATTAAAAACAAAAGTAGATACTGATCTATCTAAATCACGTCAACCTACTACTACTAATATCACTACTACAGCTCATAATAATAGTAGTATTTTAGCATCTAAAAAATTTAAAGAATCATCTCGTGATTATGGTGGTCATTATGAAAACCGTCATTATTCACATGGACATCATAACTCGTATCAATCAAGAAATTCCAGTAAATTCGATCATTATAGATCATCGTCATCATCAACATCAAAACAACATCCATGCTTTAGTAGTCATCATTCTTATCATAATTCTCGTTATGATCGTAAACACCATACACATCCACCTCATTATCATCATCAACAACAACAACAATCACATCGTCATGATGAATACAATCCTCGTTATCGTGATTCGTCTTCTTCACATAGATCAAGAGATCGTGATGACAGTTCTCCATATTCATCAAGGCATAATCATGGCGAAAGGTCAGTATCGAATTCATCACATCGACATCAAGATCGCATTTATACCTCTGGAAATAATCGTGATCCTTCTGAAGCTTCAAATTGTTAATTAATATAATAAAAAGCTGTTCATAATAAATAGAATTTCTAATCAAGATTTACATTCATAGACATACAATCTTCAGTCTTGTTTCCTGTTTCTCCTCCTCCTCCTCCTCCTCTCTCTCTCTCTCATCTCATTTGTAATCACAACGTATTTGTTAATATTTATTTTTATCCATAGGGTTTATATATATTGACATGTAGAGTAGAACAAGGAGAAGTAGGACAAAATAGAAAGATGATCATGAAAACTATTGAATAAACGCACATCTATTTTGTGTTGAATGATAATTTTCAATTTTTTTTTCCTTTATTATTACCACTAATTTCATTTATTCTTTCATATTGTTTTTTTCTTTAAGTGTGTACGACGTATGTAACAAGGTGTGTGTGTGTATATATATATATGTTGTGTATATTGTTATTTTGTGTTGATCACCTTCTCTCTAAGGGTGTTTTAATGCTCCATACACACTCACATACACGTTAATGTAAACTTGACTTACATTGAAAAATATTTGTTTGTTTTTTTGTTTTAAACACAAATACACCTCTCTCTCTGTACCTTGACCAAATAATCATTTGTGTGTGTGTGTATGTTGTATGTATGTGAAACAACGGAGTATGATGTTCTAAACCTGTCATTTTGTTTTAATTCATCAATGTATGTACATAATAACCACGAGACACATAATATTTTTTCTTTAGATAATTATGTAATTTATACACACATATATACACCTCTTCAATGATCCCTCTCTCTCTCACACACACACACATACACACATAATTACTGTTATGGATATTCGGTTGCTAAGATTTCCTCATTCTACATTTATTGGTATGCTTTAATTGTCCATTAGACAATGTGCACAGTAATCCTTATTTTGAATTATACCTATGATGTATGAATTGAGTTTTATTTTTATTCATGATAATGATACTGAATTCCTTGAAATCAATTATCTTCCTTCACTACCCCCGCCCTTCCTTTTTTCTCTCTCCTGACTATTACATCTAATGTTAAAGAATTATGTATATAAATTTGCTATTTAGTGATTGTTTTAAACAAAAAACCATTACTATTTTATTGGTTTTCTTTGCTCTACTCCATTCTACTCTAATTTGACCAATTTAGTTTCATGGAAGGGGGTAATTGTTTTTAATAATGTGTGGCATTTCTTATCATTATTACTATTATTGTTATTATTATTATTATCATCATCAGTATAATTTATTTAATTTAATTCTTTTTCTTTACTATGATAATACTAATCATAATAATAATGTATTTATAAGACGAAATAATTTGCATCATTGTTCTGGTCTTTGAAAACTCACTATTATAGTCATAGTAGATGGTCGGACGTAGTTGACAAGGTACTAAACTTAATCTGAATTATGTGTTAGTTAGCATTTATGTTATAACAAGACATACTGTTACTTTTTGTTCTATTCAAATTTCTCTCAATTTGACTTCACAATCTGAAGCCCCCCACTCAACTCTATTTGATTAATTGATCAGTAGTGGATATATTGATGTAAGTTAAATCGTTCTTGTTATTTTTAAATTAATTATTCATTCGGTACTGACCTATTGAATGACTGTTTCATCTGAATTGTATAACTTTGTAATAGGGAATTATTTGTTTGATCTTTGGTTTTATAACCAACTATCATCACTAGTATTGTTTCGTCTGGTGTTACAATTCGAATTTTCTTTGTGTGGAAAACATCTCGATCATTAGAATAATGTTTCGTAGGGGATTGTATTAGCTTTTATTGTTTTTAAATTGAAAGGAGAAAGTAATTTTGCTATATATGATACTTGTTTTGTTTTAAGAGACCAATTTCTATTCAAACCGCATAGAGATAAATTTGGATTATCTGATTAACTTGCGGTTTGTTGGAAGTGTATAAATATGTCTTGTCATTTGAAAATGTGATCTCTGTAGTTGTGGTTGCCCATATCATCCTTATTCGATGGTTCCCCTCCATCTGAACACTACCATTAAAGCTAATCTACTACCAATTGTTCTAAGTCTCAGAGCATTTTGCATCCTTCCAGTGCATTTTATAAGACGTTTTTAATAGATATTTATTTGTATCAGAAAGGGTTTTGTGGAGATTGCAGTAATTTCAGTAGTTGAAATCATAAGTCAATTGAAGCTAGACCACCATGGAAAACCTGGAAGCACTGGACTCCTCTCACAATAGGACGAAATGGCCGTCCAGTATTTCCAAGTTTTTTATGGTGGTCTAGCTTCAATTGACTCATGATCTCAACTAATGAGATATTTATTTATCTAAACAGTAGGTAGTGTGTATATTCATGCCTTGATGAATCGCGGTATTTTACAGAAAATCTTTCTTTTTGAAGTTGAAATATCTTTCTACAAATGTTCTATAATCTGTATTTGTGTATACACCTTTAGAATGTAATTTGTTCTATACTGCACTACTTAATATTAGCTCAACAGCTTAAATTACCTCAGAACATTTTGTAAGATGTTTGATATAATGCATGATATTCACGCTAAACATAATTCATGAAGTGTCCGAATGTAGATTATGATTAAAGGAGGTATGTTTTTTTTTATAGATTAGCGATTAAGAATGAAATTATAGTATTTACTGGTAATCGTAAAATAACACATGGTTTATCTGCTCATACTGTTTCATATCTCTTCCTACACATTAATGATCGTACTTGTTCTTTTGAACTTGGACCTGGATGAATAGGAAGTATAAACTTACATGCACCATGATGTCCCATTCAAAGGTTAAAATATCAATGTTTGTTATATTACGCCACTTACAAACCTAAAGTAATGTGTTGGAAGCATCAATCTCAAGATTTAACTTACGTAAGAAATATGAAATCCCAGCGGAGTAAGTGGATAGGACACACGTTGTGGAAAGCATTTAAATGTGTCACAAGGCAAGCTCTCACATGCAATCCTCAAAGCCAAAGGAAAAAAGGAAGACCACAGAACACATTTCGCCGAGAAATGAAAAGAATGAACAAAAATAGGATATAACTAGAAAGGCTCAGGACAAATTTGGTTGGAGAATACTGGTCGGCGGTCTATGCTTCTCTGGGCGTAAATGAGAAATATGAAACTACTCTTAATAGAGAATATTGTAATTTTACTGGGACTTATGGAGATTTTTCTGAAATGTAGAATTGTTTGTTTCAGCTTCTTCCAAGGCGATTATCCATTGAGTGTTGGACATGGACCTTCTAAGATTAAATGATACTATAATCATCATCATCAATTTTTTCCCCATCACCCGACTGTAAGTGTTACCCAGATTTTATAGTTGTGCTCTCCTATTGTAATGATAAAAACGAGCTATACTGGCTACAACATTCGTCCCTTTATGTTCTATCATGAAAAGTAAACCGCTTGGACAACGGTAACATAAAGCAAGAACTCATGGTTTGAAGGTAAAGTTGTACGATTGAATGAGCTGAAGTGTAATGACAATAAGTTATTTCCGTCAAACAATAAATATTTGTAGCTAATACGGTTTTATACAATCACTAAAAACAGCATAGCAAACCTACCCCGCATGATCCTTCATCTCTAAACGTAAGTACACAGCTAATATATGAAAAAAATATATTTCACAATGACCGTCTATCTGAACACTGCAATCAGTCAGTCAGTAACAACGTAGAACTTCGTACGTACGTACATCAGTTCGAGTTGCCACACCACATTAGCATAGAGATGCAGTGGTCGATTCAAATCCCGTAGTGGTAGAGGTAGTAAGAGTATAAGCAGTAATCGGGAAGATTAGTGTTTAGATGTTATTTAAGGAGTATGATCCAGTGAAATAAATTTGGAAAGGAAAAAAGAGACAAGGAGGAATAAGGAGATCAAAATTTGGGAGAACACAAAGAGTGTATGCACCTCCGCCATTGCAAACGATTTTGATCCCTGTCATTCAGGGCCTCTAAGCATCGGTTGCTATCATCTCGCGGTCCCCAACCAAGGTAGTCTACACCTACCGACATGTGATTACACTGCAATCACATTCTCAGATCTCACATATAATGGGAAACAACAACTATATAAAACACTCAAAAATGTATCCAATGCCTTTATCATCAATTTAGCAAATCTGATCATTTTCATTTCGAAATTTCAAGAATGTACACCTCTATAAGAAAATGATAATCCATAGAAGTAGTTTTAAGCAAGGACCAATACAGTATATAAATATATATTGGTAAGTATATCATTTAAGGTTAGTTACAAAATACATTGTACATGCAAATAAATATACAAATTTTGTTCAGAAAATAATTTGTTTGTTGTTAAATTGTCATTTGATGGGATGTAAACTCTTCATGCGTGTGTGCACGGGCGCGCGCGCGCGCCTTCATTCTTTTTTTCCTGATGATTATGTATTGTTGTTTTTTCTAAGGAAAATTGAAAAATAAAGGTTTAATTGGATTGAACGTTCACGATAATCTTTTATTATGATTAAAGGTATTCTTTGTATTATAGATGATAGATACAGAATATATTGTTTATTATTGAATACAAAAGGTTTTGTTGGTTAGTGACTACTACTATAGAGATATGTAATTTGTCTAGTAAATGCATAAAAATGAGATCATATAAACTTGATTTATGATATTTCACTTGTACAATGGGGCATTGAATACATATGCACTACATAAGTCACTTGATTTGTGTGTAGGCTATGATACTGCCCGGGTGCTCAAACAGGAGTAGGTGGTTTTCTTAGGGGATTACATCCGGAGCCTTCGACCTAAAACTCTAATCCACAAGGTAGTGGAGGTACGTCAGGATAGGCACTTTCATGGTAACCAGTGACCAACAATAGGTTCATATGCCATTTATTCTCTCACGATACTGGAGCCTATGTGCACCATTGGTTTGGAATGAGAGTTTTCCAACTTCTCTAGGTGGACTCTCCTTGTCCACATTCGCTTTCCGTCCTCTCAATTTCGTAAACAACACCTAGGGTGTGAGAAGGCAGTGAGTAAGGCTTCTGTAGCAGTGGCCGTATACGCGTGAGAGCATTTCGAGTAGGGGTTCTGAATCTTCCTACCCTTGGTCGTACCTCTGAAAATATTTAGATGTTGGAATTTTCAACTATCTTGTTTCAAGTTTGGTTGAAATCATGTACACAACTAGTTTCCCCAAGTTTATTCTGTTAACAATCATTCAAATAATAAATAGATAACACGAAACCACAATATACTACACGTATTTGCTATCTTCTCTGATATGAGTGTAATCATCTTACGTTGCTATATGATTAATGGGTTTACTCATTAACTACTATGTACACTGTCTGATCATTGATTAGTAGATGACATCACGTTTTTCCGGTCTTTAGCGTTGATATAATTCTCCTGATCAATTTCCGCTGTGACTACTATTCGACGTAACCTCCTGTCGCATGCGTTATGTTTTGGATGGTACATGGTTGATGGTAGTTGATCCTGGACCTCTGCTTAACGCTGTTTGCCATTTGTTACCAAGGTCTAGCTGAAATCCTGAGGGAAGTGATACTTTTTGAATAATTCGAACCCGCGTCACCTAGTTTGACAATCTGAAATGTTTCTACTGAGTTAGTCACATGATAGCTATACAGGGAGTATTTGTTTTTTCAAGATTGGGGTACACCGCGATGGCAAGTGCTGATTAGCTTGAAACTTAGTGTTTCCCGCCGAATACTTTTCAACAAAGTAACACCTAATATGTGTTATTACAAAATGTGCCAACCTGAATTAATAAGATTATGTAATAGTTTTTACGCTGTTATGTCACAGTATAAAAACTTCCAATAAAATTTAGCATCTCCTAGTGTTTACTGTATATAAAGAAAATAAAATGACTACTGAAGCTTAAATAAGTAGTTCAATGGGTGTGTCATAACATCAAGCAATTAAAAAAAAACCTGTTAAAACACACATGTATCATTGTTTAACTTTAATTTGTTAATTCATCATAAGCACTTGATCAACTAGTCAATGTAACTGCTGAATGATAACTTGGAGGACTTGGAATTCTATATGGAATTGGTGATAGAGAAGGTTTTGAAAAATTTTCAAATTGTGGAATAGGTGCAGAAGGATATGGAGTAGGCAATGACGATGTTGTCGGTACTGGTTTAAATGGTTGACGTGGATATGGAATCTAAGAGAGAAGAAAAATGAAAAATATGTATGAAGACTATCAATCAACTTATTACTAATTACATATTCATGTACTCAGTTTCAAGCCATACTTCATGTATCAGGGTTTACGATAGTACCACCTAGTGGGAGGAGTAAGACTTGAATTTGAAACTAAATAGGTCTTTATCATTAAACCATGTCTGAAGTGATGGTTCAAGTTTGAAATGAAATGATCCCAAGTTTCAGAGTACCGATCTACTTATTTCGCGTTTAACAACCGGATAGTATCACTACTTACTTACGCCTGTTACTCCCAATGGAGCATAGGCCGCCGACCAGCATTCTCCAACGCACTCTGTCCTATGCCTTCTTTTCTAATTCCAACCAACTTTTGTTCATTCTTCTCATGTCTATCTCCATTTCTCGGCGTAATGTGTTCTTTGGTCTTCCTCTTTTCCTTTGGCCTTGAGAATTCCATGTGAGGGCTTGCCTTGTGACGCAGTTGGGTGCTTTCCTCAATGTGTGTCCTATCCACTTCCAGCGCTTCTTCCTGATTTCTCCCTCCGCTGGAATCTGGTTTGTTCTGTCCCACAGTACGTTGTTGCTAAAAGTGTCCGACCAACGGATCTGAAGTATTTTGCGTAGACAACTGTCAA